AGCTTTTGGCAGTAATCATGAACGGAGCGGTCGCCAATCACCATGGTTCGGAGGTCATGTTCAAGTTGCAGAGCACGCGCCTCCTTGTTGTCATGGAAGAGACTCTCGATGGACAGCCACAAGTCACGAGCAGTAGCATTCTTTTTGAGAATTGTATCAAGGATGGATTCGGAGATGGTGCCGTAGATCCACATCTTCACAAGGCCATCACGCTTCTTCCATACTTTTTCAGTTGCAGGTGTTGAAGAGGAGGAGCCGTCTATGTGATCTAAGACGCCGAAGCTAAGACAGTGGGTTTCAAAGAGTTCACGCCACTTGTCGTAATTGAGTTTACTCATATCAAGAGTAATAGGGATATAGGCCTTGATTTGTGAAATACCAAAAGGTTTATCATTAGAAGGAGGAGGAGAAGCCATGATGAAACGAAGGAGAGAAGAAGAAGAAGAGGGTGAAACAAGGAGGAAGAAGAAGGAGAGAAAGAAGAGATCGGAGATTGGATCGAGCGCTTAGCTTGGGGGCTAGGTTAAAGCTCTGATACCATGTAAGAAAGGTAAACTCCGTTGTTGTATTACACAATCAAGAGAGAATATATAAGATACAATTGGACTGTTGGCCTTTCCTAAGTGTAATAAAGAGTATTTACATATATTCTATATACGTTCTCTAACACTATGTAGTTCTGATACGATGTGATAGTTTTCGGGGGGAAATAGGTCGTAGATCCCCTAAAAACTGATTGAGAATTTTGAATCATGTTTTACTTATAATAATTATTTTCTATCTTTGTTCTTTCTTTGCGCTTGTTAGTTGTAATTACTGACTAAACTATTTAAGTGTGTTAACAACCAAATGTGAGGCGAATATCTTTTTTAAAAACAAAAAGCATCTTGCTAAAATTTCTCTCTTGATTATTTCTGAAATACTGTGAAAGGATTATTTCTTCTGAGGGGGTTATAACATATATGTAGATGAATACGAAAAGCCAAAGTCATACATACATATACTATAAGTCTATAAATGCACAAGATATGCAGTTTAATATCATGTCTCATTAACCCCTGTAGATTCTCCTACATCATACACATGTCCACGACAATAAACGAAACCTGTTTTATTTTGTTAGACGGTGCATGGTTACGTATTACTGTACAAAGTGGACTTTTTGCATGTATGCTCGTCAGCTTTAGAAGATATTAAATCTTATCATTAGTTACTGCGTTCAAATACTTATAGTCAAGTCTATACATGCACATATAACAAATACGAAAATCAAATAGTAGGGGGAAAAAGTCATTCAAGGTTTCGTAAGTGACGAAGATGAAAAAGAAAAACTAATCGGTCAAGAGATAATGAAGAGTTTTATTTTCACACGATTTTCTAAACAACATGAATCGTTTAAATTATTTTTAGTAATATTTTGTCAAACATTCTTTACAAGTAAAGTTGACTTTTGCTATGTCAAAATCTTGGTCGAAAATATTGTAATGTCATAAGAACAAAAATATTGTCGTACTGTCATAAGAACATATTCAAAGATTGTAGTGAATTCTATACGCTTTCAATAACTTTATTGCACTTAATACCTCTCCAAGGAGAACATCAAAACTAAAATACTTAAAATCATACAACAGAACCCGAATTTGCTTATTCAAACACACATAAAAGTACATTTTTTGTTTTACTTAATTATTCATACATATAAACTAAACGATCACACATATTTAACACATGACAATAGGCCCTTATGATGAGGCTGTGACTTTTTTAGGGACCGTCTGGACAACGACATGGGCAGCAAAAACCGGGTGGAGCAGGTGCACAACATTCACACTGTGGACACATGAGAATTGGTGGTGACGGTGCCATCAACTTACGCCCTCCACCTTTACATTGGAGAAAAGACATATCATTACTTCCCGTTAACGGAAAAAAACAAAACAGAGAGTGATATGGTTACTAGTTGCAAACAGTAAGTAGCTTACCTCCTAGAGGCAAACTAGTTGCTTGACATGGAAGTATTGGAGACAAGACCAGCGAGATAGCAAGAACGTATAGGAGTATGGTGAATGTTGATGACCCAGCTTTCATCGCAGCTTTAAGATGTATGAATGTGTAAAATATGTTATTGAACTAAACCAATTTACGGTTGATACTTGAAACCATGCATGGTGAGATGATGATTATATATAGCCTGGATAGAGAGAGGAAGTAAACTGAACAAGTTGGCCAAGAAGAGGACTTAGCAATAAAATAGTTAAGAGATCAAAAATCTAGTTACCATTGACCAATAGCAACCACTAGTTTTGGTGATTAAATTATCTTTTGATTTCACACTGTATTTGATCCACCTTTCTTCCCATGTAACCATCTACAATTCTACATGATAAGTAATAAAATGCTGCAATTATTGCAATTAGTTGACCTTGGGGTAGTTGCGATGAGATGACTTTCGTTTAGCGAAAGTTTATGAGAAGTAATCAGATCAAGAAATGTGTAACGAGTTCAAAATAAGATAAGATTACAAAACTAAAACGAGAAGATTCTTTGCTGATACCCAAAAATTCTATTTACATGAATAGATGAAGAAAAAACAATCTTGATAAGCTTAGAACTTCATTCTTTTAGCAGGACCTTGATCAATAATAGGATCGATTTGAGGCGGTTGTGACTCTCCTCCTTGTGTTCCAAGCTCGTCCTTTTCTCCTAACGCTTCTTGGCTTACATAACCTTCAGGAAACGGTGGAGGTGGAGGTGCTGGGGCTAACTACACACAGCAACCCAAAAAGCAAGTCTCAGTCAGAAAAAAATAAAAAAGAATAGGGATTTAAGTCAGCGACAATCATAGTGCCTGCAAGAGATGTTTAGTGATCCAGCAAATGCATTTTCTCAGAGTTACAAAAGTACCTTGCGGTATAATGAGGTAAGAATGGTATCAACTCGCTTCATTTCTTTCAGATCCACTGTCTCACTAGCAGGCTTCAACTCAGAAGGTTCCTTCTGGTTTTCAGTATCAACTGAAATACATAGATAGATTCACATTACTGATGAAGTTAATATCAAGTGCAACACAGAGCAGCCGATAAACAAGTACTTTGTTAACACCATACAATTGTTTAGCATTGCCCTGGGATTTTGATAATGAATAGTATTAGCTAGCACAGTTAACTGGAAAACTTCTTGCTAATTCAACTAAGCACACATGCATCGGCAATCAGTTCATACAAAGAAACATATATAGATATATATCGTCCCAGTTTATTAGATTAAATGGCCAAGCTGGCAAAAAAACTTTGTAACACATCAATTGCCTTTGTAACACAGAACAGAACCACCAATGTTTTGAAAGAAAATGAAACTTACCTTGTCTAATGGTCTCCAGTTTTGATGCAACATCAGAGAAAGCCTTGGATATATTATAAACAGTCCGACTCTGGTTCAAAACATACAAAATGAGAAAGAGAAGAGAGATAAAATATACCAGAAAACTAAAGAAGAAAACTTTCATTTAGTATCCAAAGAAAAAAGAGGAAGAAAACATACAACTCGAGCCGCAAAGACACTACAAAGCTGTGGAGCTTGGTATATAGAACCATCCAAGATATAATATGTTAGCATGGGTGTGACTTTCTCAGGACCATCCCTCTTTTGCTTACGGATGACGAACAGGTTTGGTTCAGTAGCATCAGTTAGCATATATTCTAGTCCTGTCATCTTCCTACATAGGTATACATGATCAATCAGTGGTTTCAATCAAACATTTTCACTGATTTCTCTACTAGAAGTTAACACTTGAACACTAAACCTAAACAATATCTCCCATTTCTCCAATTGCATCTCTAGAATTCAAACAGAAACCAAATCCTAATTCGACCTAAAAATATGTAACCTTTAGGAGCTTCAACATTACTCTAAACCAGTGATGGAGCTAGGGTTTTCTAAATCGTATCCGGCGATTGATTTGAAGCAAAATCGAAATTGGAAAGGTGAGAGGAGTTGAGGAGGAGGCTTACGAGAGGTGAGAGAGGTCGAGAGGGTGAATGGATCTTCTGCGAAGATTCTCGTTGTTGCAGGTTGTATCGTAAAAGGGAGACAAAGCGAAGTAATCGAAGATGTAGTTACGATCAAGAGGAAACGAATTGATCCAGAGCTGATCCCTGAAGGAAATACCAGTCATATCCGTGCCCGGAGGCTGTAACGGTGGAGGAATCTGATCCGCCGCATTGCCGTTGAAGGCATCGGCCGTAGCCGCCGAGAGCAGAGAAGAGTCCATTGAAGTGAGTCTCTCGCTTCGCCGCGAAGGAGAGAAGAGAGAGAGGGAGAGAATAGTATGGTTCGGCCCAATTTGGGCCCAATAAGACAACATGTGTAACGAACTAACAACTAACACTATTTTGTATTTTCTGGCAACATTTTTATCAGTAGTTATAACTTTTTTTTTTGTTTTGTCAACTGATGTTGTATTAAAAGATGCACTAGAGGCAGCGTATTAACGATTACAAGGCTACAGCCCTGCAGAAACAGAGCTTAAAGATACAACCACGACAGCACAAACTCTAGACTTTCACCCAAAACTAAAGGTTAGTCTATACAAAAAATTTCCTGCAGCCCTCTAACCATACCAAAAAACTCCAATTCAAACCGACGAGTTTGCTTTCTCTTCCACAAACAAACCATCAAGCCAACAAGGATACCCAGTAGCAACGTATGACTGCAACCTGCAATCGTTGGTGACGCTCTGTGCTATGAGTAAAGCTTCCCTGTTTGAAGACGAGTTTTCCACAAAAAAATTCCAGTCCCTAAAGGACCTTAACAACACCCCTGCTTCCATAGATTGATATCTAAAAGCCGGTGAATTTGCAGGTTTGGTAATAGCTCTTACCAAGAACTCTTCCTGCAAAGCAAACACTACTCTCTCCACTCTATGACTCTTCATGCTTTCGATAGCCCACATCAGACCTTTAAATTGAGCTTCTGGCCTGTCATTCACACTAGGAAGAGCTATCCTACTGTGTAGTAAGACATCTCCGTCATGATCTCTCAAAACCCAAGCACAACCTGCAAGTCTATTCCTCCTCGACCAGGAAATCCCCACATTACACTTAAACCAGTTATCAGTAGTTATAACTTATAAGGCAAATTCTCACAAATAACAAAAAAAACAACAAGTTTATATATTAATTATATTAATTACCCAAACTATCAATATGTTTATTTTTTGCATTTTATATGGTTTTGAATAAAAATAAAACTAATTTGACGATATGTTTTCCTATAATTTATTTATCATTTAAACTGTTAGTCAATATGTATAACTCTAATTCAGTCTTATATATTTATTTTCCGAATTTATATGTTTGATTAAAAAGTAAAACTAATTTGATGAAGTTTGTGTTTGTGAAGCTTCCGCCTCAATACAACATTCTCAACAAAAACAAATAAATAAATGATGAATGATGAATGATAATTTTTTCAACTACTGAACTTTGTCCCAAGATAACCTAATTAATTAGAAGGTTAACCTAAACAAAGACAGAGATCATCGAATGATATCAGAACACAAAGGTCAACGACAGTTTGAACCATATATAAGACGGGTTTTGTGTGTTAATTGCATGCACGTCTCCTTCTTGGACCAGCGAAGCCAGTTGCTTTATGTTATAGTTTTTATATAGAAGTTTGGTATACATATACCGATATACGTATATGTTTAGGCCATTAATTGGTTGGGACATCCATTTTGATCAGCCCAATCTTTGGTTCTTCAGGTTTAAAATCCACTCTTCCACGTTGTATATTACTTTTATTCACTTGTCGAACAAACCATGTTCAATCTGGATTCTATATTTATATACTGAAGAACTCAAAATTCAAACGTTTGCAGACGTACGACGAATACAACGTTAAAACATTTAACTAGCATCGACTAATTAAACGGCACCAGAATTGGTTTATTGATTTTGTAATATTTATAGAATGCTAATCAAAATCATACATAGTAGTTTAATTATATTTTGGTTGTAGACAGCTGACTAGAGTTTATTTTTGTAATTTTTTTAACACTAGTTGACCTACTAATAACGTCGTGCTTATTTGATTTTTCAATTAATTAGTTTCATTATTGCCTAGTCCCTAGAAATCTCAAAGCTTTTTGTGTTTTTTTGTTGTTGTTGTAAATGTCTATCTCCTTTGTACCATAGAAAGAATAATGGAGAAGCATCCTCAAGCACTTCGGTTATGTACGTTGATCTTCATCACTTTTTATGCCCTTTTGCATCTCGTTAAAGCACAGGACCAAAAAGGTATATATATTATATACATACACATAGTTTTGTTGTTTTTGATACCTTTTCGTTGAAAATATATTCTGACTAATTAGTGTTCCGATACATTTCCCTTATATGTGTTACTAGGATTCATCAGTTTGGATTGCGGATCATTGCCAAACGATCCTTCTTACAACGATCCTTCAACCGGATTAACATACTCGACGGACGATGGCTTCGTGCATAGTGGCAAAACCGGAAGAATCCAGAAAGAGTTCGAGCCGATCTTCAGTAAACCGTCTTTGAAACTTAGATACTTCCCGGATGGAGTCCGAAACTGCTATACTTTGAATGTCACACAAGACACAAACTATCTGATCAAAGCTGTATTCGTGTATGGTAACTACGATGGTCTTGACAATTACCCGAGTTTCGACCTTTATCTTGGTCCGAATTTATGGGTAACGGTTGATATGGCTGGACGTACCAACGGTACTATCCAAGAGATCATCCACAGGACTTTATCTAAGTCTCTCCAGGTTTGTCTCGTTAAGACAGGAACAAGCACACCTATGATTAATACGTTAGAGCTACGACCACTTAAAAACAACACTTACAATACTCAGAGCGGCTCTCTCAAGTATTTCTTTCGATATTATTTCAGCACCTCAGTCCAAAACATACGGTACTAATCATGCCTTATTTATCTAATCAAGTTCGTTAAATTTTGGTTTCTGACTCAGTTTGAAAATTTTGGGTTGATCAAATTTTTTTATTTTTTTTTGTCGTCTATTACATCATCGAGAATAGAGATTTTTGATCATAGTTCTATTAGGATAAAATTTTCAATATAAATTAAAAATAAAAATTAATACAATTAAGTGTATTTATTGCAATTTAACGATTATTTTTCAACTAATCTTATTAAGTTTGGTTGCAAATCAATTGGATTGCGTTCATATTAAGTTTTGTTCATTTCGTATAAACATTTTATACCATCTTCGATATTATGAATTTCGATTTTTTTTTGGTTAATCAAACAAAATTTTAAGTAAGTTTTGTTTTAAATAAGTTTCAGTCTCTAATAATACAGGACTGAAATGTTTTTGTTAGGTACCCGGATGATGTCAACGATCGTAAATGGTATCCCTTCTTTGATGCAAAAAAGTGGACAGAACTAACGACCAATCTCAACATAAACAGTTCTAATAGTTATGCACCACCACAAGTTGTAATGGCGTCCGCCTCAACCCCTATAAGTACTACTGCAACGTGGAACTTCTCATGGTTACTGCCATCTTCCACGACCCAATTCTATATGTACATGCATTTCGCCGAGATTCAAACTCTTCAGTCCATCGATACCCGAGAATTCAAAGTGACATTGAATGGAAATCTTGCTTACGAACGATATAGTCCTAAAACGTTAGCCATGGAAACTATATTTTTTTCGACACCACAACAATGTGAAGGAGGGAAATGTCTCTTGGAGTTAACGAAAACACCAAAGTCTACTCTTCCTCCTCTCATGAACGCTCTCGAGGTTTTCACCGTGATCGATTTCCCACAGATGGAAACAAATCCAGATGATGGTATGTCTATATATATGTGTTTTAGTTTTCTTGTATATAAATCTTTATTATCTTTATGGGTTGTTTATTGATGTAATTAACAATAACTTTGTTATAGTTGCTGCTATGAAGAGTATCCAAAATACTTATGGATTGAGTAAAATTAGCTGGCAAGGAGATCCATGCGTTCCTAAACAGTTTTTGTGGGATGGTTTAAACTGCAATAATCTAGATATTTCCACGCCGCCTTTTGTCACTTCCTTGTAAGATCAGTCTTTATATTATTGTATTAGTTATGTCATAACTCATATGGTCTTATCACCTGTTCATAAACTATGTGTTTAGAAACTTATCCTCAAGCAACTTAACGGGGATCATCTCGCAAGACATTCAGAATCTATTACACCTACAAGAACTGTAAGTATTTTGAATTCCACAACTGGGCTAATTGTTCACCTTATTTGTGTATTATCTATATAACATGTTTTGTGCTTATTTAGAGACTTGTCAAACAACAATTTGATTGGAGGAGTACCCGAATTTTTAGCTGACATAAAATCACTCTTAGTCATGTGAGTCATTTTTAAGAATACATTTTTGTTTTGTCTATTAGTCTCCTTCCACTATCTAATTTTGTGTTTCTCTTAACAGAAATTTAAGTGGGAACAATCTTAACGGCTCTGTTCCTCAAACCCTTCTACAGAAGAAAGGACTAAAGTTGAAGTAAATTTTTATCATATCATAAATATTTCGTTCATGAGAATATATATATATATATATATATATTGATGCATTCATAATTCATTTATCCTATAAAAACATTTGTAATCCATAGTGTTGAAGGAAACTCGGATCTTATTTGTCCGGATGGATTATGTGTAAACAAAGCTGGAAATGGTGGTACCAAGAAAACGAGTGTAGTAGTACCGATTGTTGCATCAGTTGCGTCTGTGGTTGTTCTTGGATTTGCATTGGCTCTCTTCTTTGTGTTCAAAAAGAAAAAGACATCAACCAGCCAAGGTATACCTATAAATTTTCCTTAAAACATTGCAATCAATATATGTACATGTAACGTATACAAAGTCTCATTAATTATACTGATGCATTATTGTAACGTTATAGGTCCAGCATCATATACGCAAGAATCAGAAGCTAGAACAACCGGGTCTTCAGAGCCGACAATAATGACTAAGAATAGAAGGTTTACATACTCAGAGGTTGTGACGATGACGAAAAACTTTCAAAGAGTTCTTGGTAAAGGAGGATTTGGAATGGTTTATCATGGAACTGTTAATGGTACTGAACAAGTAGCCGTTAAAATGCTCTCACACTCATCTTCTCAAGGATATAAAGAATTCAAAGCAGAAGTAAGTTATTAAGAAAAGTTTGTAGAAACACTAATGTTCCTCAAGAGTAACATGTCAAGTTTTGATGTATTGTTCTTCTTCTTCTCTAGGTGGAACTTCTTCTCAGAGTTCACCACAAAAATTTGGTTGGCCTCGTAGGATATTGTGACGAAGGAGAAAACTTGGCTCTTATCTACGAGTACATGGCTAACGGAGACTTGAGAGAACATATGTCAGGTAAGTATTTATAGTTTTACAAAGACATATTTGTTTGTGGTATTTTCACATATTCATATATTGGTTCAAATGTAGGAAAACGAGGTGGATCTATTCTGAATTGGGAAACTAGACTAAAAATAGTCGTCGAGTCTGCGCAAGGTTTGATATGAGTTTTAAAATAAATGTTCCATATAAATTTCTTCTATTCATTTGCTTAAATCCTTGATGAAATTGAAATTTGTTCCATAGGTTTGGAATACTTGCATAATGGATGCAAACCACCAATGGTACATAGGGATGTCAAAACCACAAATATATTGTTGAATGAACATTTTCAGGCCAAACTAGCTGATTTTGGCCTTTCGAGATCTTTTCCGATTGAAGGAGAAACTCATGTGTCAACAGTTGTTGCTGGAACTCCTGGATACCTTGATCCAGAGTAAGAGTCATAATCATTAATAACCATTATCATACTTTTTGCAGATTTTTTGTTTGATTTGGATAACATTTTGTTTTGCAGATATTATCGAACAAACTGGTTGAACGAAAAAAGTGATGTTTATAGCTTCGGAATTGTACTATTAGAGATCATCACAAACCAGCCTGTGATCAATCAAAGTCGTGAAAAGCCACATATAGCAGAATGGGTTGGGTTAATGCTTACAAAAGGAGACATTAAAAACATTATGGATCCAAAACTCTATGGCGAATATGACTCTGGTTCTGTCTGGAGAGCAGTTGAACTAGCAATGTCGTGTCTAAATCCTTCCTCAGCTAGAAGACCAACAATGTCTCAAGTTGTTATTGAATTAAACGAATGCTTGGCTTATGAAAACTCAAGAGGAGGAACGAGTCAAAACATGAACTCGCAAAGTTCTCTTGAAGTGAGCATGAACTTTGATATTGGATCTACCCCTGATGCTCGTTGATTAGACGACTGCAAGATTCATTTTGTCTTTGTTTTCTTGAGTGCATGCATTGTCGTTACTTTAAAGTAAACTTTTATAATTTTGTAATATCTTTATGTCATTGATGAATGTGATTTATTGGAACCAAGATAAGTAACAAAGACTCGATCTATAGAACAAAGAAATAAAGATTCAATCACATATAAGTAATTTTGGTGGAAGAGACAAAGGCAAATATCTAGGATGAGAAGCCAACATGTTTGTAATTTTCTTGGGATTAAATATTTCTCAGGATTAATTCGTTTACTAACTTCTGTGCTCTCCTCATTAACCAACTTAACGAGATTTGTAAACTACCTTAAGTTTGGTTCAAAGTATGGAAGCTTTAGAGATAACAATAGGCCCGGGGATGAGTCAAGTGGTTGACGGATATCATCACTCACCTGCCAATTCCTCGCTACGACCATCTTCGGTCTCAATTCACGTCATTTATTTGAGGTGATCGATAGTGACTTGTTCTGTACGTCTCATCAATGAAGTTTTGTTATGTGTATATTTCTTGTGTGTCAAAATAACACAAATATAGTTAACTCAATTACTTATCATTAAGGAAGTAATTAATATTTATAAGTTTCAAACTAATCCATTACAAATGACATGATTATACTACATGTACTTTATTTATTCATATATCATAATTCTACTCAGAAAATTACGATTATATAGTCTAATATTCATGGTGTCAAGCTAGTAGTATATTATAATTATATATAGTAAAAAAATGCTTATAACCACTTGACAATCGGGAAAATTTATGGTTATAAGGTGTTTTTGTTTAAAACGCCACAAATTTTTTAAGCTATAATATTATAGCCACGAATATTAAGACACAGTCACAAATAGCCAAGTGACTATAGAGATTTTATTTAATGTATAAATACATGCATAGAAAAATTAACTTTAAAAATTATCAGCTAGCGTAGCGTATGGTATATGACCGTATTTGTGATGATTAAAGAGGTAACACTAATTAACAATGAAAAAAAAAAGTTGAAAATGTATTTCGTTTTCTGAAATATATGGAACAGAAACAAGTTGAGGAATAATAAAGTCAAATGAGGATACGATAATAGAGAGATATACCATTTGGTGATTGTGGACAACTGGATGATTTTTTTTTTTTGGTTTTTTCCAAATTGAAAGGAAGAAGTTGCCAAGTTGATGAAATAAAATAAAATAAATAGTAATAATCAGCTTTCGTCACTAAAATGCATCTTCTGATTTGACAAGATACTTTGGTTCTTGATTCCGTTTTATATGATAATAGGGCTGCAATAAATACTAATAAGGATGTTTGGTGTGATTTTGCGGACCATAATTAGAAGTATGGACTTAATTATGACTGGTATGACCAAAACCTCGGATTTTTAGTAAGATATATAAAAGACTAATTAAGATTTAATATGTATAAAAACTTTCTAAAAATAGGTTGCTTCACATGGACATGAGCTTTGGTCTAAAACGTTTACAATATGGAAACAAACAAAAGACCATAACCGTTCAATTACAACAAAGTCAACAAGAATGATCGATCTCTCTTATCTCCCCAGCTTGCAACACCCAATTTCGAATCCACTGACTTTTTCTTTTGATTTACTAATTATTATATACAAACTTCAAAATCTTTTTCTTAGAGTTTTCTGTTTGTTGGTAGATAACTTGAATATATGATTTTATGAAATTAATAAAGTAATGGATTATATATTGTATATACTAAAATCGTCAAATTTTATATTTGACTTCATATGTTATTCATCGATATAGAAAAAGAAAACTTTTTTTTATAACAAACCATACCAAACCTAGTCGGTTGCATACTTGCATGCATCTTTGATTGCTTGATTGCGTTGATGATGACTTGTAATTTAATTTATATCTTCAACCAAAAAGAAATTGGATTACTATGGTTTGAGTTAATTACCGTTACACAACTGGCCTAACGAGACTCTTCCAAATGTTAAAAACTTTTTTTTTTTTTGATTAGACCTTTTCGTCTTCTTCTCTTATATGGAGTCCATGTTCGGAAAAGGTATAATCAAATTTCATTCACAATTTTATTTTGTATATTATATAAAAGCCTTGTAACACATGGCATGATTTTGGTGTTTTGTTTACATCAAACGCATGCACTTCAAAAACAATGATTCCGGAACCGAGATATATACATTCTTTGCAAATTTATAACTCATAGTTTTCATATCTCAGAGTCAACATGTTTATTAGATAAAATAATTGTGAACTTTGCTATTTTTTGAAAAAAACATACTAGCATATAATTTTATCCAAAAAATAGCATGTTATTTTGAGAAAAACATAGCGTCTCTTTTTTGTATATTGCAAAGAAACAAAAAGTTGATAGTCAATGTAACTATACCCAAGTCAAAAAAAAAAAAAAAAACACATACATCAAAAGAACATAATTAATAGAATAGTATAAAGTGAAGAAGAATGTGTTTAAGGAGATTTAGGGACGAAATAAGACAAAAACCAAAAGACAAAAAAGAAGAATAAAAAGATGGAGATGGACTGAGAAAGAAAGCATGTGGTGAGCATTTTAGGGTGTTCGAGTCAGGTTCGAGTTTATATTCTCAAGGCGCACGCCTTCCTTATTCTTAACTCTTCTTATTAATTAATCTCCATCCTAAACTATTACACTAATCTCCATCCAAAAATATGTTTTAAAAGCTCTCTTTTTATATCTTTATTTTCAAAATTAAGATTTCTGTTTTTGTATATGTTTTATCGGCTAATTCAGTCAGTATCGATAAAAAAAATAATTAAAATGTTATATAGTGCATTATTTCTCAAAATAACTACAACATTACCTAACTCGAATGTTATTATTATCTTTGGGAAAATAAAAACAGATCTAAAGTCAAAAAAATTTATATGGATAATGTTCATAAGTGCAAATATATATATATAGACACCAATTAAATAACCTTGCAATGTGGAAAAAAAAAAGGATGAACATATATTATACTATTATTGTACTCCAAAAGAGTTCTCCAAGTAAAGCTAAAACTTTTTATGAAACTAAAAAACAATGTAGAGAGATGACACTTTTCTAAAACACTTTTGTTGATAATCATCGCTTAATAATTGCAATTATCTTACTCTTTCTTTTCTCTAGTAAAGTAATAAAAAGGGTGAAAGATAAAAATGTTGTAGTCGTAGAGAGATAATTAAACATCTTGCGGCTCTGTTTTTCACAATTTCTTTCAACCCTCGATTAGTTCCACAGATTCTACAAAAAGATATATATATTTAATATGAAAAAAACCAAACTTTATATAAAAAGAAATGCGAAACAAAGACTGGAAAGTGTAAACAACACTGCCCGACACCAACACCTTTCTCACAGAAGTGCCTTTCTTGAGAACTGCTAAAACAATCAAGACGCCATGATTCTGTTTGTTGTTGATGATGATCATGATTCATGATGATGATGAACTTTAAAGTATTATAAATCTGCCATTCCAATCAAATCAAATACATAGATTTTTGTAACTGTTCAACACTCTGGATGATGGATCTGATTAGGGTTTTGTAAAGGAAGAAAAGATGGGTGGAATAAAGGGAACGTAGGAGGAGCAGAGGAGAATGAGAGATTGGTTGGATCAATCTTGGGTCTCAAGTTTTCTAAAGCTTTTACTTGCGATCTAAGGAACTTTAGATAATTAGCAGCTTCATCAAGCATTGAAGCAGTGTCCATCTTCGTCCCACCTGGAACCAATGTTTGCAAAACCCTAATCTTCTCACTTATCCTCTCCCTTCTCTGCCTCGCTGCAACTGTCTGAGGATCCGTAGATATCTTCACGTTCTTCCTCTTAGGTTTTTCAACAATCTCCAAACCAAAATTCACCGGTCTAAATGCAGCAGCTCTGTATATCATCTCCTTCATCTGCGCGATCGCCTCTGCATCCGGCTCGGCATTATCAGAGACACAAGTTGAATGTTGGAAACTAATGTTTGATGAACCGCCTCGTTCTTTCTCTGTTCTTGGTTTCTTGGATTTCGATTGGTTCTCGTCGTATATGAGCTTGAAACCTCCCTTCTCCGAATCATCTTGAGGACGAACAAGACGGAAGTGACTTCCTTTCTCGTCTCCTCCTCTGTTTCTCTTCAAAGACTTAGGCTTTATCGCTGTTGTTTTCGTCTCGGTAGTGATCTCTCTGTTCTCAGACTCTGCAGAGGAGACTCCACCAAAGCTCCAAAGAGTCTGAGAATCTGAGAAAAGCACAGAGATACCTTCATCGTCTTCCGTTGAAGTGTTGTTGCTGTTCGACGTTGCTGATAATAAACAATCGAGCGATGATGGATCTATCGAACCAGCTCTGTTTCCAACATGTTGCTGCTGTTGAACCTCACCAATAACACCAAGATCAGACATGAAACAGCTGCTAAGATTCGGATTAATGAGTTGATGGTGATAAGAAGAAGAAGAAGAACAGAGTCCTCTAGCCATCATTAGCTCGTTTCCTCCCCAAATCAAATCCGATCCTTGATGCTCCATGATTTTGCTCTCTCGTGACATTCCATACATAGCTTGAGCGTAGACAGATTCCAATCCTTCCATCAGATCAAACGCAATCCTAAGAAAACAAACACAAATGTGAGATACATACGCAGAAACAGAGCAAAAGACATGAAACCTGGGATTACTAGTTTCATGCAAAGGGGAAAAAGATTATAAAAACAAAGCTGATCTTCAAAGAAACCAACCTTGTTCTAATAACGGCAGAGCACATGAAAGACTGAAACAGGAAGGAAGAAGAAGAAGAGAGAAGACACAGGTGAGTTGATGACAGGAAACTTGAGAAACAATGTTTCTCACTTCTGTCTTAACTGAGATGAAACCCCCAAAAGGGAAAGAAAGAGAAGAAACAGAACGATAGAAGTGCTGGAAAAGGAAAGAAAGTAAAACAGTCTGTAAATGAAAATTTATTTCTGTGCCTGTAGAAAGCTCTGTTTCTGTTTCTGTTTCTGTTTCTGTTCTGTAATGAGAGCTCTGCTACAAGAGTTATAGATGGTTTGCTGTAAGAAAAGACTTCAAAGCCCTATACACACCTCTCTCTCTATGCATACCCAGATTTGTTATTATGCATATATATATAGAGAGAGAATAAATATAGATATATATATATATATATATATATATATATACATATAAATATATATATCTTATTGGAAAGGTCCCAACTTACGATGAGATCAATTGTTCCTCTGTATCAAGCACTAGTTCTGTACTTGTGTAATAGATTGGTATGGATCGTTAAGCTTTAATAATTAGGATTAATTATACCCTAACGGTCTGTTTTATACTTTGATTACACTTTAAAACTTACTTATTCATATGAGCAAACTTATCTATATTGATCGGTTACTAACTACAAAAATAATTTACTTTGAGGTAATTTCTTACCAAAGTTAACAATAATTATATGACTTTATGGATGCGATTTAGATGAGTCTTTTTTTTTTTTTTTTCTCAAAGAGACAATGACAATGCATATATATATGCCATATAATGCAAACTCGAATGTAGATATGAAGGTACGACATGTTCGTTAGCCCAACGTCAGCGACACGTTAAAATTAAAGAACCCCGGCGGCGACAGCTTCTTTTCTTTTGTAGAAGGAAAGAAAATGGTATAAGTCGATCATTCTTAATTACGATTAAATTGTTTGTTTGAAACCATTAGAGTTAATCTTTCGATGCACCATACTAATTACACTGTCCTAGTGAGATCGTTGGATACACACGACCACTACCATTGAAATTTCAAGTCGTCACAGAAATATTATAAACGTTTAGAGACAATAATATTTGAAACGTATTTAGTTGATTGATACGTCTCCTAAACTGGATTTAGCTACTTAATTAAATCGAAAATTATTTTAAATTTTCGTCGAAGAGAAAAGTGAGATTACTTGGAGGTTAGTGAAAGTAGTTTAAAGTCTAAACGAATAGACTATATAAATATAGGAGCAATGAAGTCATTTTTAAACAAAGTATTTGTATATACACTAGCGTTTTGAATTAGGTTGGTGTGCAGAAATAGTTACTGCAATCGAAGAGCATCTTTTTTTCTTTCTTTTTTCTCGAAACCCTAAGACAATAGATATAATAATTGATTGATACTATATGATTATGCACTTGATGAAAATAAAAAGGATTTGTATAATTCAAAAAAAAAAAAAAAGTAGCAACGAGTGCTTGAGCAGAGAAAAGGACTGACATCCTTTTTAGCATATCGTGCGAGCTGAAAAGTTTTTACGGGAGAGAGATCGAAACGAAGCTGTGGTTTTAGGGTTTGAATCCTTTTTATTTACTTTTGGTGTGGATACAAATATTAATTGTATAACTATCATAGTACATTTAATTAATCATAGTTTTAATCATCATCAGTCTGTAAAAGTAGTTCATAATTTATATATATATCATTCTTTTTTTTTTGTTTACCTTTTCGTTATCATCATCAGTCAATAATGATCAAAATATATAATATCACATCGATCTATCTTGTAACACTTTCTTCTAGTACAGTAATTTTTCTCGAATTCTTTTTGCTAGAACGTGATATTAGTTTATAGTAAATTAATAACTCTCTTTTTCTGGATCTAATATGCACTTGAAGATGAAATTTTCAGCAAATATCCATTAAAGAAGATGATGATGATTGTCGATCGATATATATTTATTGAAGGAATCATTTTTGGATTTTTATTTTCTAAAATTTTGTAATTTCAGGAATAATTTGTAAAAACTCTAATATTTATGGTGAATATTGTAGGTAATATTACAAATTAACTAAATTCTCATATTTTCAAGGTTATATTCACCATCAAAATTTTATCAGTAAATTATCCATCAAATATAATCAGCGATCGTTATATTGGTGTTTTTTATGAAAAAATACACGGTAATAACTCATACCAAATCATCAATATTCAATTAATGCTTTGTAAATTATAAATTATTTTTATTAACTAACGCTCATATACGAATACTAACTTTGGTAATTAAAAACCGTTCGATGCATGGATTTCTGGTTCTTGTTTTTTCTTTTGAAACAGATAGGTTATTGTTCACTTGCTTTCTTACATATATCATCTCTACAAATTAAAATTTAGAGTTGTTACCTTCTTGGTTTGTAAATTACAATTAGTCATATGTTATAATACATTAAATATTGTCTCAATTTATAACATTTAAAATGTAGTGGGTCTTTTTCTTAACACTCACCAATATCTCAAGAGAAAGAAAAAAAAGATCTTGAGAATTTTCAAAAATTTAAATTGAGAGCAAAATAGTTAGGAAGTTATGTGGGGCTAAGTAGATATAGCAACATCAGTGAGGGAACAAAAGAAGTGTTTTGGTTTAAGCGTAAAAATATACAAATATACATCGCAATCCGTAGAACGGTGTGAAAGAGAGAGCAAAGAAGACGACATGACCTCTCTGCCCAACCACATGTCTTCCATAATCCCACCACAGCTCATTCAATTTTTATTTTTGTTTCTTTTATAAATTGTCAACTTTGTAACTTATATCATGTTTTTTTTTTCACTTACCATCAATATATTTCTAGTTCCGGATACATAAATAAACATAGTAGTAGATGTTACAAACAGCTGAGCTCTGTAATCATCAGTTTATAAACCTAACAACGACGCACTACAAGAAAACATACTGATTTCCGACAACGATATTGATAGGAAATTTACTCATTTTACGCATATATTGCACTCATATACATAAGAAAGAACAAAATTTTATCCTTTGATTTACTTTAAATAACTTGATATATCATAAAAGTATAGCACCCCAATTATGTGTGTATTGCTAAAAGAGCGATCGATATCATAGTCGTTTACCTAATTATATATTTTCATATATGGGTAATCTACCGAATTCACCATTTTTATTGAGGTTTTATATCTATGCCCTATCTTAAATAGATTAGATGACTAAACTCATTAGTCCAATCATTTTTTTTCGTTTAAATGTGTAAGAGCAATATACATGATTATTTCACGGTTTAATAGATCAAAGAACAAATTTTACATCATTTCGATAGAAATGTATACACCTTTCTTTAAAAGTAACATTTCCGAACATATGGAATATATTTTACGAAGAAAGTAATTCATTTTACATTGTTGTATGTATATAACCATAAATGGTATAAAAGAAAAGAAAAATGGGTAAATGAAGATGAACATCACATTCACAGTTGTTGACATCCTTAGGATACTCACAACGAAAGAGACCTTATTATTTTGTCCATACATGTGACATGAACTCCATTTTTTTGGGTTGAATAATACCAAAACATATATTAATTGAGAGACCCATAACAAAACAAAAATTCTCAAATCAATATTAACTATTCCTTCACACCTCAAGCAGGGAACCAAAAAATGTCGGTCGATAACAACTTCTCTCAATTTAATCGACGAATTTGACTTCCCACGGTCATGGACCGATCCAATGTACCACCTATAGTGAAACCGACCATGTCGGTTTAATAAGTCAACTCGAGTCTAATTACTTTGTGACAAGAAACCATGTATACGTAGTTACTCCAATAGAATTTGCATGTAGATCTTATTAGTAAATAAACGATGGATTAAGATCACTTAATGCATGATTCATTGTAGAGACTAGTATAAGAGATTAGTGTATAAATAGAAGTAAAGGATTTGTCGGGGGTATGTCCATGATTCTGCGCCCATGATAAAGAGATCAAAGTGGTCCATATTATCGTGCACATATATATTGTCAAAACATGAAACAAATCTCTACGAGTTTAAGAGGAAGACGACAACGTTCCGATAACATTCTTTCACTTTCGGATACTTTGGCTCGGTACGGTTTAAATGGTCCAGACCGAAGCTGTACAGTAGTAAGCGAAGCTAAGCTTAAGCTTCACTCTTCTTCTTTGCTCTCTCTCTCTCTCCCTTCTATTATTAGATGGCTCACACGTGAACACAACGTTCTCCATATGCACGTGGCTCTCTTTCATTGGCTGTGATCTTTTAGGATTGTAGTCCCACGTGGGAAATCAGCATGGCGTCATATTGTGGGGACTCGCAACTTTTATTCTTTTTTGGTTAAGGATCGGAGTATCCATATCTTTTTTAGTACAATTTTTTCGTTTTCGTTTACGTTATGTGTATTGTAAACATCACCCCGTTGATGAAGTTGAATATTATATCCTGTAAGAATAAATGAATCTTGAAAAGGATACGAGCTTCAATCATACTTGTCTCTTCCGTCTTGACAATACACATATACGAAACATAAAACATTATCATGCATGCTTCAAGAAAATTTTACTTGCTATCGATTATACTAAAACAGGATATATACATATCTAGTTTTTGTCAACAACATTCTTCTTAAACATGAGTAGTGATTTCATAACAACGATACTACAATGAGTAATTGTCATCGATGGGATGACACACGGTCACACGTTGCTTCGCCATTGTCTCCCCGACACCAAAGTTGTATATGTTCTTTCTTCTTTTTGTCTGAAATCTAGCGAAGGGCCACAAAGGTTCAATAAATGAAACTAGTGGGCTCAAGCCCACGTATATGTCATGCTCTCAAGATTTGAGAAAACCACGAGACGTCGACCTTTCTTTGAGCACGTGGAAACTCATGGTCCTTGCTTTGGTTTAGTTTTCTGCTAAACCCATCCTCCGGTCCGGTTAAACTGGATAATGGTAAAGAAAGACTCGACCGAACACGCATCTTCTTTCTCTTCCCACAATAGTGTCAAGTGATTGTGATCAGAAACAGATATTTCGCTAAAGATTAGCCCGATTTAGGAAAGATGATGATGAAGTTAGCCAAGAGAGAGATACAAAAGAAAAAAAAAAACATGTGGCTGTGTGTGTAAAAGACCGAGTCACCCGAACATCTCCACCTTCACGCCATTCTTCTACCACTCGGACCTAACCAACCAATACCTTCCACGTCATCTGCAATCCGCGTTCCCGTGAGATAGGGATCTTTACTTGAAGCAACCAGACATGACCGCAGAGTCACACACACACACACCACCCTAACCTTCACAAGTTTCTGTCGTCCCCTCGTATGGAATCCATTGTGGGGCGACACCAAAATATCTTCTTCTTTTGCTTCTCTGCTTCTTCTTCTTCTTCTTCTTCTTCTTCTTAACATTTGTTTCTTTCAGGTGGATTAATTGATCTCCATCTACATAAAACAAAAACAAAGATATAATCGTTTCTTGGATTTGGGATTGATCTAAAGTGAGATTTCAATCTTGGCACTTGGTTTTTGGAAGGTAACAATCTGGTTCTGTTTTCATTTCTTTAGGTTACGTGTATGGGAAGGAATTAATAGAGCTTGTTTCTGAGCGTAGTGAAATTAAAGATGGGAGGAATGAAAGATGAGGCCAAGAGGATAACTATTCCACCATTGTTCCCAAGGGTTCATGTGAATGATACTGGAAGAGGAGGCTTGTCTCAGCCATTTGAGGGCAAAACAATGTTGATCTCTTCTAAACAACGTCCCACTCTTGCTTCTCCGACCAACATCTCTGATTCTCTTTCCACTTTCTCTTTGTCTCTTCCTCCACCGCCAAACACCGCCCGTCTCGTAAGTCTTTGATTCACTCTTCTCACTTGCTTGATTGTTTGTGTCTGCATGTTTTTGTCTCATTAGTACACGGATGGTTTTGATCAAATTAGAATTGGCAATGCGGTTTTGGATATCACTTGATGATGACCTGTCTGAGTACGTTTTTTCTAACAGATTGATGGACCTGAAAAGAATCAGTTCTCGCCAATCTGCAACAACACTAAGTTCGAGGGGAAGATGAATATAAAAGGCATGATTTATACAAGTCCTAGAGGATCATCAGTTACTAATACTAAGCCTAGTTCAATAAAACATAATGAGTACCTCAAGAACCTTACCAACTTGGATTCTCTTAAGGTTCCTGTTGTTAAAAGCTCAGAAACAAATCCACAAGCAAACACAGATTTGTCACTCCAGTTTTGTACTAGTAGTAGCGGTAAAGCCGGAGGTGAAGCTGTTGGTTCTAAGATCCTTTTGCCAGAATGCTTGGAAGATGAAAGCCAGAATGGGTCTCCTAATGTGATGAAAACTCAATTATATAGAAGAAGCTTTGCTGAGTTTAACAATGAAACTCAAAAGAAGCCCAAAACTCTGCCTCGCCGTGAACAAGATGCTTCAGACTGCTCTGCTATAGACTCTTTGTCTGGTATGAGTGCATCTTCTTATGATATTGCAAGAGTGATAGGTGAAAAGAGGTTTTGGAAGATGAGAACATATATGATCAAGTTTGTATCCTCTTCACTTTTTCTTATGATTCCAGCTTCATAACTTTGCCGTATTTCTTACTAGTTCTTCTTGATATTTTCAGTCAACAAAAGATCTTTGCCGGGCAAGTATTTGAGCTGCATAGACTGATAATGGTAAGCTTTTAATAACCATTATTGATTCACTGGAATCTGTTTTGCTTCCTATGCTTCAGCTTACTGAACATGATGCAGGTTCAAAAGATGGTTGCAAAATCACCAAACCTGCTTCTTGAAAGTAAGCTTGATGGTGGCAAACATACTACAATGAGGTCATCTCATCAGCTGGAAATGGCGGCTTCAAAGATTAAAAAACCAAACACAGAGAATCAGAAACCTGTAACTGAAGAATATCCAGAGCATATGAAACCAAAGCTTCCTCTACCTTCCATAAGCAAAGAGCTCATGGCCCCCATTTGGTCACAACAGCTACTTCCTCCTCCTGGAAACCAATGGCTAGTTCCTGTAATGTCTCCCTCTGAAGGTTTGGTCTATAAACCATATGCAGGACCATGTCCTCCTCCTTCAGCCTTTATGGTTCCAGTCTATGGCCAAGATTCGCTCGACTCAGCATTCAGGTTCCCTGTTTCATCTCAATTTAGCCACAGTTACTTCCCACCGCCTAACTCTAGGACAACAGTTGACCACGCAAACACCTTTGGTCAGTATCAAAGATGGTCCAGCACATCAAGCCACATGACTCAAGCCATTCCATTTTCTTTAAAGAAGTCTCAGGAATCTAATGACAGTGAGGTACATGGAAGCACAGCTTCAAGTCCACCAGAGAAGCATAAATTTGAAGTGCTTCCTCTTTTTCCTACAGAGCCTACCCATCAAACTGATGAGTGCAAGCAGAAACAGCAACCGCTGCTTCGTGCCATTAAAGCCATTCCTCATAATTCAACATCTGCCTCTGAATCTGCTGCAAGGATCTTCCGTTCCATTCAGGAAGAGAGGAGGGAGTCAGATCATATGATTAGTTAGTTTTTTAAATTTGAACCCTTCCACATTCTTTTGCTCTAATTGCTTCTTCATCTAGTTTAGAATTTCAGTATATTCTATTTACTCTTCATATGAAGATGTAAATCAAATACTGTCACTATACATCAAACATACACACACACATACACATCTTACATTGTTATTGTATTGACAAACAGCTAATAAAAGATAAACTTTTGTGGTTCTATTCATTTCTCTTGAATGCAGTTTTGAAAGGTTGAAAATTTAAATTGCATTACTTGCAGACTTGTTTAAGCAATGGAACAAGAAGATACTGATGCTTCTTGGGAATGAAAAGTTAAAGATTTGTTTAGCCGTTAAAATGTCTATATTATCAGTGTGGAAGGAGACAGTAATGATCCGTTGTGTCCATGCTACACTCAAATTCCAAAAACATTTCAGAATAAAAACCAAGAACCAAAAGAGCACAAGAACAAAAGAGACTCGTTAGAACCCAAGAACCTTTGGTGCAAGTTTGAGTAAAGGCCCCAATGCGCTTGGCGCAAACTTTCTTGCAAAGAGATAACAAATTTGAGTTTGCTGATCATTGTAGAAGCAACCTCGACCTCGTGTAAGCTTCTTAAGGAACCTCTCTGTTATATCAGCTTTGCTAAAAGTAGCTGGATGGGCACCACCTCTTGACCAATCTGTCCAAGTCAATGTCCTATTTGCAAGCGAATACGAATTTCCAATAGAGAGCATTGTTGGGAAGTAATGTTCATCCACATAACATGGAGGTCTACAAAACTCTTTGAATTTGTGATAGTAAACCATATCTTCAACAATTTCAAGAGCAAGTCCTCGGTTAATTTCAAACCACTGAGACCCTTTTCTCCATTGGCTTAGATGGACTTCTGGTCCCATTGCATAGCTGTATCTACCTCTCCCATAAGGCCCGTCCTCGTCAACAGAACCCATGAAACTGTATCTTGATCTGGAGACATAATTGTAGACAAAGCTGAAACCGCGAATAGGAATGCACGCTTCAGAGAGCAAAACAAACCATTCGTTAGAGATATCAAGCAACGCATTAGCTAAAAGCCTCCTTTCAGCATCACACATACTCATTTCTCCCCAAGCCACAGGCTGCACACGTATAAAGAAACTCCTAAAGTGAGAGAAACCAAATGAAGATAGAAGAAGCCAAGATAAACAAAGGAGTTTTTATATTGATCAACAAAAGTACCTGACTTGGGATCTGTCTTTCATAAAACACAGATGAGCTTGGGAAACCTGATCTATAATTTGGCAACGCATGAACATATACTGAGTAAAATCCCTCATGCCCTTTGAAAAACCTTTCCCAAAGTGGAGCAAACGGCAAAGGTCCTTTGGTGAGAAACATGAATGCCATTTTAGGAACCCTTTTAAACGGATATTCAAGTCTCCCTGGCTCCATCGAAGCACGCCAAAGAAGCTCGCTATCATTCATGAAGTGCCAAGCACTCAATGGAGGCTTAATAAAGCTCTCTAACGTTGCTTTCTCATCATACGAAGAGATCAGTGCGGATGGAGCCAAAGTTTGAATATTTAAGTACTTGATCATGTGCATACTAACGACTGAGATTCCAAGAACCAAAACAAAGAACATCAAGAAAACCTGAAGCCCTCGCATAGGTAAAAGAGTACTCCTAGATTGGTTTGTATGCCTCGGGTTAGGGGCTGATGAAGCATTATCCTTAATCCCTTCCTCCATCCCCATCAGTTTTAATCTCTTGATTAACAGAACCAGTTTCTTGGAACTAGTTTAGCGTACACAGAGATACAACACTTTCTATTACTTTCACAATTACAATTTTCTTCCTATATATTTCCCAAATCTCAGATTAGCACTCGTACAAATCAGACAAGATTGAGAGGATTTTACCAAACGGGGATGATGTCCGGAAACACAAGCAAGCAAAAACGTACGAGAAGTTCCAAATTCCAAACTAGTTCCTGTCGTTTTGAAAGAACAGAGACACTTAGGATGATGAGTTCACATGTTTGATTGAAAAAAAAAAACAAAAATCAAAACTTTGAATATGGGAAACTAAATTTACCAGAGAAAAGAAAATTAGGATTTGGATCTTCTCAGTCACGCATTTTGTTCAGCTGTCGGAATCGTTCATGATTCAAATGTGAATCAAAGAGACGTGTTAATGGAGCTTAAGTCTTGTCTGATGATCTCTTTCGAAGGATGTCTCTGAAACTCTTACCTGATTTTTTGGTATCTACTTTTGGAAACAGAGAGAGCTTAAATGTAAGAAACTCGGAGAAGAAACATATAATAACGCATTAAACCCTAGTAAGTCACATTTGTATATCTTGGTCTCTCTCTTCTGTAACTGACGACGATCTCAGACGTTTTCATAACAACAATTTCACAAGACAAAAACGTATTATGAGTTGATTAATTATTGTAGTTAATAAACATTTCAGAAACATACGCTTAGTTCATGTAATTAATAGTACTACTATAAGCATTCTCAAACGCTATCGCTGTAATGATTAAAGGGTTTAAGCTTCAGAGGACGAACAAAACGATGTCGTTTGAGAATATCATACATCATTCACCTTCTTATCGCAAATTCTGAATTTAGCATTTTCTTCTATACTGCGAGCTCTCTGTTTCAATGTTGGCCACGGCGCCTGTTCATGGATTCAGGTACGTGGTTCCCACACGCTCATGGATTCAGAGGTTGCGATGCTGCTCATCCTCTTCGTCTTCTCTAGCTCCTGTCTCTACTTCTGAATTCTCCGGCGGTAATAGCATCCAGAAGAAGGTGAACGAAGAGAAGAACAGCAACGGAAGCAATGAGAGAACGGCGCCGTATTACCCCAAACGAGGGCAGACAGTGGAGCTGGTGTGCGAGAGTTTGGGATTTAAAGGCAAAGGAATCTGTAAAGTTGATGGAACTGGTTTCGTTGTTATGTGCGACCGAGCTCTTCCCGGCGAACGTTTTCTCGGCCGTGTCACTCGCCGCAAAGGCAGCTATGCTGAGGTTTCATTCATAAAAACTCTACCTTTTTCCTCAAATTGCGACTTTTTTTTTGTTATAAAGTTTCGATTTTTAATACTGATTGGTAATTTCTGGTCTATTAGGTGACAAAAATCAAGACGATATCACCACATAAGGATTTAGTAGAAGCTCCATGTGAGTATGCATCCTATTGTGGTGGTTGTAAGACTCAGAATCTCTCTTATGAAGCTCAGCTTAAAGCTAAAGAAGAGCAGGTTCATGAGCTTATTAGACATGTTGGAAGGTTTTCTGATAACAGTCCTAGCCTTGAGATTGTCTTGAAGCCTATTGTTGCTTGTGATATCCAATTCAATTACCGGAATAAGGTTTGATTGTGTTTTTCTTTGGGTCGAATGTGGTTATGGTTGCTTTGGTTTGAGACTCGGTGCTTATAAAGTGCGCATTTTGAATAGATGGAGTTTTCATTTGGTCCACAAAGATGGCTTCCGGTTGAAATGTTGAATGAGAGAGAAGATGGTGCTAAGAACTTTGCATTGGGGTTACACGCACCTGGATTTTTTGACAAGGTTTTAAATGTCGATAAGTGCTTACTACAAAGCGAGCCAGGAAACGTGGTATGTTGAAAGCAGTTTTACAAAATTAGTATCTGCGTTGAGCTTTCCTTTCAGGGCCATTGATAAATAATTTCTTATATCTAAATAGGTTCTTGCTGCTGTCCAAGATTGCTGGAGAGATCCTCAATTAAGTCTTTCACCATATGACTGTCGTTCACATGTTGGGTTTCTTAAACATTTGATGCTGAGAACTGGAAGGTATTAAAGGTACTTGAATCAAATTGTCGATAGAAAAGCAACTCGTTCTTGTAATATTAGACCAGTAACAGGAAATTGTGTCTTTTTTCATGGTTAGCTAGAGTTGATTAAGGTGAAAAATGATAGTTGTAATCTGCGCATTATCGTGAACAATAGTTCTTTCACTGCATTAGTTTTGCTAATGTTTTCTTATGATCAAACTTAACCATAGGAATGTGGAGACGGGTTCACAAGAACTTATGGTCAATTTTGTGACATCATCTTACAAGCCAGAGCTGTTGAAGCCCCTGGTTGATAGAATTTCATCAATTCCTCAAGTGGTACGTATTATTGAGATCTGATTTGCTTCAGTCCTACAACCCGAATAATACATTCAATGCATTTTTTCTTGCTTTGTATTTTAACAATTCCATACTTCTCTTTAAATATAGGTAAGCATCATGAATAATGTAAATTCTTCGGTCGGAAATACATCTGTTGGAGAAAAGGAATATACTCTTTATGGGAAAGATACAATCACAGAGGTCTTACGAGGCCTTACATTTCAAATTTCAGCCAACTCGTTCTTTCAGACTAACACTCATCAGGTATGTGGAACAATTAAGGAACATGATTATATTTTACATTCCAAACTTTAAACACAAAATTGTTGAAAATAAAACGGTGTTTACTATGTAGGCTGAAGTTTTATATAAGCTTATTGAGGAATCAGCTGGAATTAAAGGAGATGGCTCAGAAGTCGTGCTCGATCTTTTCTGTGGAACTGGTACCATAGGCCTTACACTTGCGAGAAGGTAGAGAAATATGAGTTATATAGTACTGTCAAAGATTTACTTAGCAATGTTTTACTTTTTCTGATTGTCTGATTCTCCTCCTCATAGGGCAAAACATGTCTATGGTTATGAAGTAGTCCCACAAGCAATAACAGATGCACACAAGAATGCCCAAATAAACGGCATAGAGAATGCAACATTCATCCAAGGAGATCTAAACAAAATAGGAGAAGATTTTGGGAACAATTTCCCTAAGCCTGATATTGTCATTTCTGGTTATAATCTTCTTCACATAGTTATATTTCATCTAGCTTCCAATACTTTGCAGTCTACCAATTGTAAACTGTTTTTCTTTTTTTTTTTACAGATCCCAATCGACCTGGTATGCACATGAAGCTGATCAAGTTTCTGCTAAAGCTTAAATCTCCACGGATCATTTATGTTTCCTGCAATCCTGCAACCTGCGCAAGGGATCTCGATTACCTCTGTCATGGCGTGGTTAGTATCTACTCCTCCACTTGAATCTCTACTCTTCAAATCATATGTGAAAGTAATAAACAAAACTTGATGACTTGAAAACGTAGGAGGAGAAGAATATAAAGGGTTGCTACAAATTGATGAGTGTTCTGCCAGTGGATATGTTCCCTCACACTCCTCACATCGAGTGTATCTGCTTGTTGGAGCTTGCTTGAGCTCTCTCGAGACCATGGTTGCTTCATTTGGTCTCTAAGCAGATGAGAAACAAATCGCAACAGAGATATGTTTTAGATGTGAAAGAGTTTTGATTTCCAGTAGCGTTAAGTCTCTGACTCTCTGTAATCTTTTTTTTTATATCGAATTTTAGTAGTAGCATTCATAGAAAAGCAAGTAAACCTTTTGAAAACACAAAATAAAATTGATTTGTGTTATAATTTGTAGTTTATTGACTTCTCAACATCTTTTGAAATTAGATAATTCCATTAGGAATGATAAAACTGCTGAATAAGATAAATTTGTCCCAAAAAAATAAAAAGAAACCAAAATGGCTTCAACAAAGAAAATGATCAAATTGTCAAATGAAAAAATAAAACGTACAAATAATTTAACGAATGAGAGCTAAACTAAATTGTAAAACTCCAATAAGCTTTCTTCAACTATGTTATCAAACTCTTTAATCTTGTTTCCTCGAGCTAAGTTGACGAGCATAAGCCGCGACACGCTTTGCCCACTTGACGATCTCTGCCTTGAGCTTTTTGGAATCCATACGATTCAACGAAGATGGTTTCTTCTTATCTTCCGTTGATGACTCCATGAACGAGAACGACAAGCATCGATAATAACGAGTCGAGTTGTGCCTACCATTGTTCTTGCTCTCTAAAGCCCGTTTCTTCACAGACATGTCCAGAGATCTCCCAAGTGAAAATGAAGAATTTGTTACAAATTTTGTGTTGTGAAGAGACTTTTAATACGCAGACAAAAAGAAAGAGAGTCTTACAAGTTATTAAGACATATGATAGGTTTAGGGTAAAAGACGTGTAATCGAAGCATTGTTGGTTTGGTTGATGTTTGACTTTGTCAACGCATATTCTTCTCTTCTCGTTCATTTGGCAAAATGGAATCTATATTGCATTCTCTTATCCCATTAAAAACTCAAAATTTTGACTTTTCTTTGTTCTGTTTCTTTTGAGATTTGAACAGAGTTTAGTTTGTATATGCTCCTTTTGTCTTAAAATCATAATGCAGAAGTAAGAACACCATTAATGTAAGAAGTTTCTCCTTCTGAGTTTGACAAGAAGTTCTTCACGAGTTACAACCAATAGTTTTGTGAGTTTATCAGAAAAATAACTTAGCAAAATGAGTAAACGAGCAACAGTGTATTCTTCAAATCTAATCTGAGTTCTTTTAATCCTTTAAAATTACACCTCCAACCATTAATTGCTATAGCTAATATTTACATATACAACTTCACTTCCATATTCTTACTTCTGTTCTTTCTCAGAAGGCCTATATATATATCACTGTATTATACTTGTACAGTAAAACCATCCATCACCCCCCTAAAACCGGGCTAATATCGTCTTGGTCAATGCTTAAAACCGCGAGGTAAATGAACGTAAGAAACAAATGGCAGGAAATAGAACAGAGACCAAACTCATCTCATCATGTATTGCCTGCAGATGGTAATGATCTATGCACTTGTCTCGTTGATCCCTTCAGTGCTTCGTTTATCCTACTGAATACTACTTTCAGAGGGATGCAAGCTACAATTCTATCTTTCGTCTTCTCTATCATCATCTTCTTCTTGCTACTTGCTGTCAGCTTCTGGCCACTTAGTGTTGAGAGACACCTTGTCTTTATTGATAGAGATGAAGATTTCTTTGACTTTGATGATTTATATGGAGGGATATGTGATTTCTTTTTCTTGCCTTTCTTTTTCGATGAAGGTTTTGGCTTCTCATCATCATCCATTGGTACAGCAAAGGGATCGAGATGACTACTCACAATGCGGTCACATGATCCATCTTCAAGCACTTCAACCGTTGAAGGATGTCCAACAATAGCTTCACCATTCAGTTTACTCCTAAGGGAAATCAGCGGAACATTCCGGGGTTTATAGTTGGCTTTTACCTCAATCTTCACATTATACATTTCAGAATTTCTCCCCATAGTACTAGTACCAAAGCTAAATTGACCATATATCTTTTGATCAGAGACAGAGCAACCAGACAGAAAATTGTTGTTGGCTTCGGCATAAGCATTTCTTCTTTCTTCTTGTTTTTTACTCATCTGCCTTGAATTCCTTTTGCCTTTTATCTGCCACTTTGTAGTGCTCGTCTCAATCCCATTGATAAATGTAGTTGTCGGACGTGTATAAGCAGATCCATTACTTCTTTCTTTTTTCACCAAATCATTATGGCTACTCTGACCAAACAGCCTAGTCAGTCCAGAAACAAGAGCCTTCGTGGGTGAGGAAGATGTGAAAGCTGCCGTCATAATTCCTGAAACAACAATGGCCATCAGTTCAAGTCATGATGATCACAACCCAGAAAAAGAAGCAACCAAATCCAATCTGATGGCCAAAGTTTGATCCTAACATTCACAGAAATAAATTACTACAGAAAACCAACCTAAGGAGAGATCAGAGACACGCAGAAACAATTAGCCATAGATAGAGAAGTAATAGAATTAGGAAGCATCTAGATTGTCCACATATTAGTTAAGCACTCAAATCCATCATGTGATAAATCCAACATATTGGATTTTCTGTTCCTTTCTGTTTCCGCTCTTCCTAGAAGTGGAGACATTCAAATTTATATGACTAAAAGAAACAGAAATTTGAACAAACATAGAGGCGCACTGCAAATGTACCTAGATCAAAAGAGAAATACAATTACCAGAATTTTTATTAAAAAGTTAAACAAATTATACCTGTAGAGTAGTTTTCTTCTCCAATCAGTGGAACATCAAATAACCCATTGGACGCATCATCCTTTGCTGAAAGTGATATGTTGGAGTTTTCACTTTCTTTTGCCTTCTTGCTATGGATAGAATCAACAACGTTTTCAGAAGCGTTTAATGAAACGGAAACATTCTCACACAAAACCCCAATGTTGTCTGAATTGTTATTGTTGTTTGCAGCAGAAGGTTTGTTTTCTGAAATCCCTGGAGGAGGCAAACAATCAGAATTGATAAGATCATCACGGGCAAGAGGAACCGATACCATAGATGTACTCTCTAACACTTTTGTTAGTGGCCGTTGTCGGGTTTTTCTTTTAGAGTATTCATTAGCATTTACAACAGGCGACCTATTTCTTTTCATTGACAGAGAGCAGTCCCTGCTACTACCATTGGCGAGACTCCCATTCAGCATGGAACCATTGATGTTTGCATCACTTTTAAAACCATTTTCCTGCTTATCCTCGAGCACTGCACCGACCTGTAGTTTTCCTTTTGATCCTCTACCAGTTCCAATATCCTCAAGTCCTCTCATTCGTTTATTTCCTTCAGTCCCATCATCTTCCGAATCATTTGGTGTTCTTCTTCTCTTCCCTGACAAGGACTGCACCTTAGAAGCTTTGACCTTATTGTTTTTTTTTGAAGACTTACTAGATTGCAATGCAACTTCAGTCTCTGCTACATCACTGGAGTCCTCTTTGCCCTTTCTGGAATGACATCTTCTAGGAACCTTGCCAGATGTACTAGCCTTCTCAATACACTCTGGGTTATCTTTGGCAAGGTGTGCACTCTCAATCTCTAGAGCATGGGCAATGGCATCTTCTCGACGGGCATACTTGACAGCCTTCTTACTAGTGGTAGATACAGTAGCCTTTGCCGTCTCAATGCAAGCATCGTACTCCCCACAGCGAAACGCCTTCACCCTCTTGGACTTTTCAAGATTATACCAATCCCTGGAGAGACAAAGTAAAATAAATAACAGTGAATACCACACTCCAACTAGATCTAATAAGAGAAAAGGCCTGAATCATTTACAACTGAATGATAATCACATTGACAATTCAGTAACGATAACTTCCAAGAAATCCAAATGTCTTAACTATTTCATATGATATATTAGAGATCAAAAAGAGTAACAGTACTTTGTCCAATTTCCATCAATCATTCATAAAGCAAAATCATATTGGCAATAATTAGAAAAGCTAACAATCAAAACAAGAATGCTCAATACAGAAACCAAAAGGAGTTTGACTCAATCACTAATAAGCCAAAGCAAATAAGAAAGAGAGATTAAAAGAGTACTCACACGCTAGCATCTTCACGACCTAGAAGCTTAATAGGAGTGCCAGATTTAGGAGAAACAATAGTACTGTCGGGAACCTCGTGATGAGCCATAATCCGACCCGGCCACCATGACCCGTTACGGCGTCGGACCCAAACCAAACCTCCTACCGACGCATCAATCGCCTTACTGTTTCGCTCATCACTACTCCCCATCACCCACCTAATCCCCCTCGCAGCTTTAAACCCAGAAATCTCCTAAAAATTGATCTACAGATTCCGACAGATGAAGTCAATCTCTTAACCAAAACAGAGGCATGATTCTCTCTGAAAACTCTGTCACCGACTGAATCAGAGGCAAGACCTCGAAACCAAACATGCAATAAATCGAATCCCACGAGCTGTAAGGGCTTCTGAGACGGGTTCCAAAAAGGTTTTATAGAAGATCAAATGAATACCGGAGAAACAAGAGATCCAGTTACTAGTCCTGAGATTACTCTTACGACGTTTCCTTTTATAACTTTGAAGTTATGTTCTATCAATCAGTAGCAGCGGTACCGCTGTTTTCGATTCAAGGGTTTTGGGCTTTCCTCCGGCTTGGAGAAGAAACGCAGAGAGAGAGAGAGAGAGAGCGACGACGACGGAAGACGGGAACGGCAAGAGAGAGAAAACAGAGAGAAGTTTCTTTTTATTCTTCTTTTTCTTTCTTAACGAAAGCCAAAGGTGTCTTGTCTCTCTGTCTAACTATGAAACAAAACGGCAGCGTTTAGTTTCCTCTTACTTACTGTACACTATTTCATTTTGTCACCTTTTTTACCTAAATTTTACAACCATCTCTTACAATTGTCTTTTACCGCTTTTAACTATGTATCTCGAAGTCTCGAACCAATCGAACCTGTTAAGCCTTCTTTACTAAAGCTTTAGATAGAAGACGGCAATGCAATGATGCATTTATCAGAGGTGAAATAAAACAGAGCTAGAAGAATCTACATTGATCTTGAATTCCCATGTACATATTAGTTTTATCCAGTGACCAAACTAAACCACCTGCAACAAATTTATATTATAAAAAAAAAAACTACCAAAGGTCCTCCCCTAAGTACAGCTCACACAAAATTGGGCCTATGAATCATTTCTAATTTCACAAGAAGAAAAAAACACAGCTAATTTTCAACAAGATGACTCCAAAGAAGGAGAATACCAAACACCTCCTCGTTTCACCTTTGAGTATTGTGAGATCCAGAGAGTTTTTGGTCCCATCTCCATCAGTCTTTTCCATGAGATAATGCGTAGTCTTTCATTTTTTGTTTCAGTTGCTGCAAGACGGTAATCATATCTTGTTGTTAATACCAGTACACGCTAACATAAGAACGCAGAGGAAGATGTTTAAAACCAAAACTATGGTTTGTAACTCACCTTCAATTCTTCGTGGAGAACAACAAATACTTTCTTCAAACGTTTGTGCCTCTGCAGATTGCATGACAGATAACATATATATACAAGTAAGTCATGATCAAGTATAATGTGCAATTAAAACACAGGGAGAAAATACTCAAGTATGATTCAATACCAAGTATGGCCAAAAGACTCTGAATCACTAAATAATTTACACGTGAGATTCCCTTTCAATGTATAGTCACTTCTTCCCACTATCATATTCCTACGGTTTATCTTTTCCTTTGTGTTGTCATGAAGATCAATCTAGGTTACACAGGTGGACATGTTTTCCACCCCAACCCAATCTAACCCATTACCTTATGCAATATAATTCATCTCTTTCATAATTTCCCAAATCGTACACAAGCAAACAATTTTAACATTCATCATCCTTTTTCAATGAGAGGTCTGTCTCCAAATTTCCTTCTACATCCAAATTTTATATGACGCTGGAAATTCATCTGATGCCAAGAAAGCTTGCAGTAAATAAGTTGACTGCTATCTTCAAGGATATACTAGAAATGTTTCATACTTAGTTATACAAAATATAAGAGATATGTAAGTATTAAGTGGGTAGAGATAGAAGATTACCTCCCCATATTTGCAATAAGATTCCTGTATCTGCTCCACAATTTTGTTATATCTCTCCACATCTCTTCCTTTTGCAAACTCAAGGTCTTGCCCCAACTTCTGAAAGTCATTTCTGCAAATAATGGAAATATAATTTTTTTATTAAAAATACTGAGAATCTAGGACAACACAAATGATCTGAGAGTTATAAACGAAGAGTTCATCAAGCTACCTGTGGCCCTCTAATATATTGTTAATGGAGCAATAGCTATCATATTTTTCCATATATTCCTGCATATAGGCTTTATACCTGAAATAGAAAACATCGTTATCTATTCAAAACATAAACACTAAATAATTAGAATTCTAAACATTAGAGTTTCATTTTACTCACTGTAAATGATCACTAATAGGTCCCTTAAGCTCAGGAGAAGCTTTCTCGTATTTCAAATAAGAAGAGTCTTCTTCATCGAAAGATGTCATTCGTTTCTCCCGGACAACACTGTCACCTGGTATTGAAGTTGCATCTTTGTGTCCATTCATAGAATTTGAAATTGAGCCAGACGCATGTCTTTTGCTCTCCCTTGATGAGCGGGATGTGGATGCTCGTTTGGAGCCATGCTTTATAACAGGCGTTTTTTTGTTTGTCTCTCCATAACCTTCCACACTGCTTCCTACTCTAGCTCTACTATCTTTTTGTCTTGATTTATAAGCTGCATCCTCTAAATTTGTGTTCTGTGAGCCGGTTTCATTATCCCTACCTGTAAGGTTCTGCCCATGTGACTGCGAAACCCACTTTTGGGATCTTTCTGAATCTTCAACAACATGTTCGGGAAATTCTTTGATACCGTTGATAGCATGTGGAGGAGCTGACTTTTTTGAGTCAGATTTTTTAGACCTTCGTCTATCCGAGTCGATACCCAATTTCTCGGAAGTGCTTGGTTTTAAATTTGACTGCCTAAACGAAGTTTTCTCTTCGAGTGGCTTCAATGCTGTATCTTCGCTCGATGGCTCAGGGAGTTCACCCAACTCCAATTCGGAAACTTGTTTTTGGAGGACAGATCCATTTCCCTTAGGTAATTTCGCCCCATGTATTCTCTGGCTATCTAAGGGAGAAGAAACTATGCTCAAGCTTGAAACATTCTTGGGATCCTTTTCACTTCCATCCAGTTCAAAGTGTTTTCTATCAGATGTCTCGGTAGGTAATGAAGGTCGAATGGCTGAATCACCATCTTTTTTATTCCTTGGAAACTTATTTTTCAAATGAACATCATCTCTTTGGCTGTCCCTGAAGGCCTTTCCTGACCGACCAGAAAGCATTTCATGAGGAAAATGGTCCCCTTCGTCAGATTTACGAACATATCCTAAGGCATCAGAATGTTTGTTTGATTTACCTGAACTATCAACAGGCTTCATTTGACCATGTCTATTCGACTTTTCAATAAATGACTTCTGAGATCCTCTAAGTGGATCTATTGTTTGACTGGCAGAAGAGTTGCGAAGTTCTGCATCATACTTTAGCTCTGAACGCTGTGAATCTTTACCTATGGCAGGTAACTGTTTACAGCTCTGGGATTTTAACTTTTTCTCCCGAGCTGATATCTGACTGTAGTGCTCAAGATCAAGGGCTTTTTGGTTCTGGTCTTTTGTCAGACTCTCGGAGATGTCAGGTTTGTCACTTTTAAAGTTATCCTTTGTTGTATTCTCTGTGTCATCAAACAACTGTCCAATAAAATCTTGGCGCTCTCGTAGCTTGTCATGACCAGAAGCAAAATGTTCCTGCCCTGAAATGCCAACTTCTTCATTTGCAGTGAGGCTGGTACCAGTTGTTGTTTCCGTTCTCCAATTATTATCAGAAATTTTGTTTCTGTCAGTTTCAGAGCCATGACCCTCATCTGAACTGTTCCCCTCGACATCAACTGCATCAGACCCATGACCATCGATGTCAACTGCATCAGAATCATGACCTTCAATGTCGACAGCATCAGAATCATGACCCTCGATTTCAACAGCACTAGAACCATGACCTGGGAGATTAATTGCACCCCGTTCAGCGGACTGTATTGTCAGTAGAGGCTCTCTGTCACCATCACCCATGATATCCACGTCCTCATCAGAACCGTCCTTACTGTTGGAAGAAGCCTCACTGTCACTGCTGCTCCCACTGTCACTTCCAGCTGCACTTTTACTGTCACTCCCACTGTCACTGTTATCACTATCACTGTCACTATCACTAGAGCTACGAGCCTGGCCTTCTCTATTGTCAGATCCTTTTTCTTCATGAAATATACCAGGTGAATGATGCTCATTGTCAACATTGAGCATACTCAATTGCTCTGCTAGATGCAAAGGTAAACAGTCTAGTGAACCTTCTCCGTTTCGCTCGTACACAGAAAGTTTCTCCATGTTATTTCCCCCTGGAACAGGTAACTGATCGCGACTGCACTCAGTGATTGGTAGCACTTGCTGGTGTTCAGGTGAACTGAAGAAAAACAAAATTGTACTAAGACCAGATACAGCTATAAGGGGAAGAAGACATCACTAGAGGTATAGAAAATGTATATGTTGTGGTTGATAGCTTCTCGAGTTCATTCCGTACTAAATCAGATAATAACTTCAGCTAATTATCATATAATCCTAAAGTTTAATTATAGTTCATTCTGCACTAAAGAGGCAATGTTGCATTATAAAATTCTTTTTGTATAATAGATTTTATCCTCATGCACCTTAATTTTATAAATCACATTTAATTATGCAAACATGCCAATCCTACTTCCTACAGTGTCATACTGCAGTGATAATGCAAAACTATTGTCTAAGGTAAACATACCTTCCACTGTTAGGTGAGTGTTTTTTATCACTTCCCAACTCTGCTTCTGGTTTTAAGAAATACCTTGGAGCTTGGAAAGTAGCGATCTGGTTGTCAACAAAAATTAGGGACACAATATATAATACATACTGCATCTCATAAAACCACCACAAATCACATGTTACCAAGAAAAAACCACACCAAATTTTCTGACTTACTTTTTTCAAAATTGGTTGAATTTTCTTTGCAGCATTAGGGATTCTATCTCCAACAGCTTTCTCCAAAGCCTATAAAGAAATGAAAAGACTATGGCATCAATTGTGGAGGAAACACTTGTTAGATATGAAAATAACCATATATCTGGGGTTTCATCTATATTTTACCTTCGAACTCATGGGAGCCTCTTTTAGGATATCAACCAACAGGGTCTGCAAGTCAATTTCTTCATTAACATTGGTTGCTTGGCGCTCAGATGTGTCCCTTAATGCATTATTTTTCCAGGTTGATGATTCTTTTTCGCTACCAAGCATGTTCTCTCTGCCCTTTGTCAGGACTGGTGTGACATTCTCGTTAGCTGCATGAGTTTTAGTAATATTCCCAATCTCATATGAAGGAGGCGTATTGTTTTGATTAATAGGAGACGGTCCCGGTGAAGCTGATAGCCTATTTTTCACAGCAGGGGTAGAAGCCCCTGGTCTGAAAGAAGGCTTCGGACCTCCGATTGGAACTGTCATATTACAAAAAGTGAAAAAAAAATTAGTATTATAAAAACCGGCAAATGAATATAATAGCACCCAACAGTATTTGAAACCCTAATGTGTTACCACGAGCTTGTTGCATAGTCTTTTTCTATATACCTGGAGGTGGATCAACTTTCCGCTTCTTAGGCGGAGGTTCCTTCTTCTGTTTATTTGACATTCTCCATGGACTTCCTGAAAGCACAGGGAATATGTCACAATATTATTGGTTATACTTATACCAATATATTATGACGATAACTAAAGGTTCTAAACCCAAAGGAGAGGACAACCTGACTACGCAGTAAAATTAACTGTTAAGAGCACGGGTTTCCATTTCAAAAAAAGAATGGCTATCTACGCTCATGTTCTTAAATCACCGAGTTTGAAAGGAAAATGGAAAATGTAGCAATAACATATTAACTTCTCAAAATTCAAAGATAGATAGATGCTGTTTATAAAAGTTACCTTCAGCAAGAGCTAACTGCTTAGTTACTGATGGATTCCCAGGATCTAAAACAATTGCCCTGACATAAGGAAAAATGTAAGGGTACTTCAGTGAAAACCACTTTGATGAGAATAAAGTTATGGACACAAAAAGTATTACGCAATGAGAAATTTTCTGTGAGTCTGAGGATTACGAAACAGCTCAATTTGAAATATATATGAGTAAGATAAGAAAAAACCCCATTTAAGCCATAACTAATTCTGAATGCAAATAGAGACTAACATCCACAGCAGAGTAGCTGCAATAAGATGAACAATGCTATTGTGCCAAGACTCATAAAAAGACTACCCTACCCATTGAAGACTGCAAAACCAGAGAAAAACTACGAGAGCAGACACCTTGCAGCTAAAGGACAGACTATGCTGAAAAAGTTATATAGATATTGAGATGCAACCAAAATGTTTGGTTAGAACTTGTACTTGCGTGATTTGGTTCTCTGCTCAGCTTCAACTGAGCGCATCTTCATATGGCTTGTGGTTGACTCATCTAGAGTTCGCTGGACATTCAATTTTCGCCAAGCACATCCAGCCTCAATCAGCAAACCATTTCCATCTTCATCACTTTGATGTTCTTCATATATATCACACAAGTCACCACGCTCCCTAGACCAAGTAAATTTGAACTCCTTTCCACCAACATTAATTATCTGTTTACTCAAGATCAAAAACAGGTTAATGGTGTCAAATTCAAACAGTTAAATGAAAACCCAAAAGGACACCTGAAGGAAAGGCATTGTAACAACAAAATCCAGAAGCAGTAGAAGATAAATGACAAAAAGGTATGCAGAAGGAAGCTGATATATTCAATAGACAACCAGTAATATTGGCAAAGCCATGGCTTTACAAAGACAACAAAATGACAGTAGGATAAAGATACCATAGAAGCAGCAATTCAATGAGTAAACCAACATACCATACAAAACATACTCAACCAATTAGCAAGTCAATGTCTACCCAGAATGGACCAAGGAATTAATGTGGTACGAAATAGCAATGGAGTCTTTGTAAACAAATCTATGCACCACAAATTCTTCTCCACGGGATAGTAACAGCTATACAGATGCCAGGATCTATTGGTTTATTGTCCAGTATTACATTACCATCTACTTTCGATAGGACCTGTTTTCCCCAATTTCAGTAATCTAGGGTACCTTGACTAAAATGAATTGCCAATAAGTTCAATGGCATACCAAAAACGAAGTATGAACTACCAAAGCTATCAAATTCAAGAGTCACCCCAATGAAAGAGTGCAACTAGCTTGAAGCAATTCAACTCAATCTACAGAAATCCCCTATGTATGAATTTCAAAATTGAGTAGAATAGAAACTCACATTCCCAGTGCTATTGTTAGGAAACGCATCGAACTTGATCTTGGCAGCTCCACCTTGTGCCTCAACACGCTTGATCTCCTCCACCAAATCAGGAGCTAACCGTATAATCATCCCAAAAGCCGAAGGACTCTCCCTAGGAACAAGACTAAACGTTTCCTCAACAGACCGAACAGACGCGGTCGACGCAGCCGCCTTAACGCTCGTAGTATTATTCCGCTGGCGTGAGACGGCGGAGCCACCAGAAGACATCCTCCCGACGGGAGAAGGATGTCGGTTAGTAGGAGGAGGGAATGAATTACGGTTACGAGAAGGTCCCCCGCCACCGCCTCCTCCTCCTCCTCTACCACCACGCTTGGACGATTCTCTGTACATCTTGCCGGTCAAAATTGCGCCGCCGTCACTGCAATTTCGTTACAACCATGTATTGGCGCATATGCGTATTGCAGAGATTGAACTGATTGAGACGCGCGAGCAAGAGAGAGAGAAGCGAAGAGAAGAGAGACGATGATTAGAAGAAGAGAGAGAGAGGGACCCAAGACGCTTCTTCTGTTCTTCTTCTTCTTCCTCTTCTTTTTTTTCATTTTTTAATTTTGTTTTTATTTTTATGTTAATTAAACGCCGCCGTATTGGGCCTTAGGTCTGATGTGTTTATGAAGCGAAGGTGATCAAACCCGACCCGACTCGATCCACCCTGACCCACCCGGTTCGGGTCCAGGTACTGGTGTATTAGAGAGAGTGAGAGACGGAGAAGAAGGTTTGCGCTTGCCTCATCTTCAAGAAAGAAATCAAATTCGCTCTCTTCGCCATCAACCATGTTAACAGGTGAATCTTCTGAGTTTTTATTTGTATTGTTGCTTTTGTTAATTCCTCTGTTAATCTAAGATTCAACATTTGAATTTGGTAATCTGCGTTTCCTTTGTAATCTCCGTGAAAATTTGGGTTTTCATTTGTAACCTTCACTTCTCATAATCAGTCTCTTGTGCTAAATATAGACGTTGATTGATGATGACAGTTTTAGTTGAGAAGTTTGTTTTTTTACAGACTAGAAACAGTAAGGGTTTTATTATCTCAATCATATAACATGGTGGCTTGATTTCCCAAGTTCAGTCTGTTACAGTACAAATGACTGTTGTTGTTGTTACTGTATCTAAGGTGGCTTTATATTCTAAAATTTATCTTCCCTTATTTTATGAATCATCAGCTTGAATGAGAATGTAACTATGTTGTGAATTTTCTTTTTGATTATGTACAGTCAGTGTGAAGTGGCAAAAGAAAGTGTTTGAGAGTATCGAGATTGATACTAGCCAGCCTCCTTATGTTTTCAAGGCTCAGTTGTATGATTTGAGTGGTGTACCTCCAGAGCGGCAAAAGATCATGGTCAAAGGTGGACTTTTGAAGGTAACTTGATTCAATGTCTTTTGTTTTTACTAATGTGTTCCCCAATCTGTTTGTTGATGATGATTTATGACATGATTCTTATAATTTTTGCAGGATGATGCAGATTGGACCACTTTGGGACTGAAAAATGTATTTTCTCCTCGCATTCATTTGGCAACGTTTCCCTGAATTAATTATAGTTTTATACTCTTTTGAGGTGAGTACTTACTAACTTTAAATTATTTCTTCTCTCTAGGGTCAAAAATTGATGATGATGGGAACTGCAGATGAAATAGTGAAGGCTCCAGAGAAAGGTCCAGTTTTTTTGGAGGATCTTCCTGAAGAAGAGCAGGCTGCTAATCTGGTTATTCTTTCATCTGAATTTAGGACTGCTTGAATGTTTCCTGTGGGTTTTGGTAGTCAGTGATAAGTTGTACGTTCCTTGGACCCTAATCAGGGCACTTCATAACAGTTCAGAAAACATAGTTTTCTTCAGAAATTGTGAAAATTGGTGGTGGCTTTTTAATCTTTAGAAATTTTGGCTTCATATGGACTGACGAATAGTATAATTTGGTTTCAGGGTTACAGTGCTGGCCTAGTCAATCTTGGAAACACCTGCTACATGAACTCAACGATGCAATGTTTAAAATCTGTCCCAGAGTTGAAATCTGAATTATCCGAGTGAGTCTATATCTTAGTCTTTCTGTCTTAAGTGAAGAAACTCATACATCTCACTTATGCTATGCATCTATCTCATGTAATAAAACTATGTTTCTTGATCTATTCCCACAGTTACCAATCTGTCCAAACCAAGGATGTGGATCAAACGTCTCACATGCTTACAGTTGCAACCGTGAGTTATTTAGTGAGCTTGATAAAAGTGTCAAGGCTGTTGCACCTATGCCGTTCTGGATGGTTAGTTTATATTCACATATGCTTAATACTATGTGAACTTCTTTTACTTATACTTGTTAGTTCTCATCGATTGTGTTCAAATTTCTCATCACAAGATTTGGGAGTCAGAAGTTTTCTCTCATACCAACCTTTGTTCTTGATGCAGATGTTACAGAAAAAATATCCTCAGTTTGCTCAGTTGCATAACGGGAATCACATGCAACAGGTTTGTTGCGTTTTTCCAACTCGGTTGCATTATGGGTTTAACCTTCCAGTTTTTGAATCCTGAAACCTTGTAAACGTGTAACAGGATGCTGAAGAATGTTGGACACAAATGCTGTACACTCTTTCCCAATCCCTAAAACCACCATCGCCTAGCGAAGATCCTGATGCTATATATGACATTTACTGTCCAGGTTCATTTGAAACCTAGAAATGTGAATCCCTGACAAGTGTTTTCTTTCTTTCCTTGCACAGAATGGAAGAAATGGTGTGTCTCTTAAACAATCTGTTTCTGTTGATGTAGGTTGCATTGCCAAGAAAGTAGCGAAGAAAGCTCAGAGACAGAATCTGTCTTTTCTCTTAAATGTCACATATCACATGAGGTGAATCACCTGCATGAAGGATTAAAACATGTGAGTAATTTTATCATAGAAACTTAAGGCCAACTTTGTTGGATGGTCCATGTGCACTATATCACAGACAGTTCATGTGGTAAGAGTGACAATTCCTCTGGCTTGCTGTAGGGACTGAAAGGAGAACTTGAAAAAACATCTCCTGCTCTGGGTCGTACAGCGGTTTACATAAAGGATTCTCTTATAGATTCATTGCCAAGGTGATTAGTCTTTGCTTACTATTAGTGGCCCTGTGCTTGCACTCATTGGTTTCCTGCAACCCTATTGTGACAGGATTTATAACCAACATGTTCCAGAGGAAAAACTTATCAAGTTTCTAACTTATTGATACATTTCAATCCTTTTTCTTCTCACTCTGAGTTTCTTCAACTGTTATTACTGATTTTGAAGGTACTTGACTATTCAGTTTGTGAGATTCTTCTGGAAACGGGAGAGTAATCAGAAAGCAAAAATTCTCCGGGTATAGTAGCTTTCTATTTTGAATATTAAAGAGAACTGGGATGCACAGCATTTTATATGATAGTCTCCACGTAATTGAATTTTGAAGAAAGTGGACTATCCGTTGGAGTTGGACATATATGATCTTTGTTCTGAGGATCTTAAGAAGAAACTGGAAGCTCCTCGCCAGGTATACACAGCCTTCTTTTTTGTTTGTGGTCTTATTATCTGAGGTGGTTGAACAAATGAACTGACAGCCGTTTCTTTCAGAAACTGAGAGATATTGAAGGTCAAAAGCTTGGTCTGCAAGCCAGTGCAAAAAGTAGCTTAAAGGGTGATGATGTGAAAATGACTGATGCTGAGGTACAAAATATATTTGCTTTTTAACACTGCGCTCAATAAAATTTTCTAAGATCTTTGCTCTCTATATCTCTCCAGGGATCATCGGAATTGGCGAATCATCCACCAGTGACCAACAGGGAGATATATTCTCTAAGAACCGGTTCTCAACATCTTTCTTGTCTAGCTTGCAATGCGTTGTATAGTCTATATGTTGATTCAAATTTTCGTTATATGCAATGTGCGAAGTTATCTTGTGTGAGTATTTGAAATAAAGAATCAACTTTAGAAATGAGTACAGAGATGGCTGCTTGCAAATAAAGCCTTAATCAATGTTAGTAAGCTCCAGAACCTGGATATATGTTGCTGTTAGCTAACAAATATCTCTGATGACTTTTGTCCATGGAGTCATTTTTCAAGCAGTTTAAGTATCTACTCCTATATTCTTGCTCTTGACCTTTTCAAATAGGTTCTCCTTCTCACATGACCGGAATTTATGACCTGGTCTCGGTGTTGACCCACAAAGGCAGAAGCGCAGACTCTGGGCGTTATGTTGCATGGGTCAAGCAAGAGAGTGGTCAGTTCCATTGAAAACTAAACAAAATTGACTTACTGTAACTCTAAAACCCCACACACAAATATGTCATTTAAAACTTGGGAACACCTTTAAACATGTTTTACAGGTAAGTGGGTTCAATACGATGATGCTAACACAAGCCTTCAACGGGAAGAAGATATCACTAAACTCTCTGGAGGAGGTGATTGGCATATGGCATACATAGTAATGTACAAGGCCCGTCTCATCTCCATGTAATCTCTTCTCTTTTATTTTATCTCAGTTCTTAAAACATTCAGATTGTTTGAAGCTTTCTTTAGATAGACCATCTCCATGCTCCTCTTTATTTCATTCCTATTAATATTAACTTCCTTAGATAGACTGTGTGTTTACTGTTTACCAAGGTTTTATAATAAGAGGTCCCAATCTAGATAGAGTGAATCCAGCAATAGATATGTTGATAAGTTAATAATATCAAAATGATAATAATGAGAAGAAAGACTTGGATTTGATTGAGATGTCTCACATGTAGAACAGTTGCGATGAATAGTATTAGTTGTAGTAATTTTTATCAATCACGGATCAAGGTCAACAAAGAACAATTTAAAATCAACTTGTTTGACAACAAGCAATAAAAAAAAAATAAATAAATAAATAAATAAATAAATAAATAAAATTGGACAATACAAATAGGCAAAAGATGAAGAAGAAGAAGAGCAGAACACAGCCCCCACAAGACATGTGGAATTGGTTATATGTAATAAGTAAGAAAGAGTTTGGACCATTGCCAAAAAAAGTTTATGAAACAGTGAGCCAATCAAAAAGAGGAATTTTCAGAGATGATTGATTAACACAAATGGTTAAACAATGGTCAATTCAACCATAAACCAATATTGATTCTTCAATTCCCTTAATTAGTCTCTAAGAAGTGGACCATTTTGGTTTTTTATAAAATTCGGTATCTTAGAGCTATCTATCTAGTAGTATGTAATGTTATGTATATCTCTCTATCCCCACATGGACCACCATTTAATTTGCCAGCCACACTTTTCATTTTGACTTTTTTTTTTTTTTAATTAACATTATTGTTTGCTTACATTAGAATTATCTCTCTATTCGAAAACTTGATTTTCATAGTATGGGTATAGAGGGGAGAGCCATCTACATCTACATCCATTATTATTACACATATGTACAACACTTGTAATATTTGATATCTACTATCCAAATACATCTATTTTGAAACTATATAATTGGACTTTTCTCATTTTTTCATGTACTTGTTATTGTATATTAATTAGTTGGATGTCAAGAATTCGATTAGTCAGTGCCTAAAATGTTAAAACCTTTAGCTAGAGTTTTTGATTGGACATGGTCCGCAAAACATGCCATGGTGCAGTTTTGATCTTAAGGGTTTTGATTGGACACTGCATGCAAATCACGCCTTTGGGTGCATTCCACTCACAATTTAACAAAAACAAAAATTGTGAACCCCAAATTTATCTTAAACAGAAAAAACAAAGATGCAAGTTGTAGTTCTTTGTCTCCCCCGTGCAATACAAGTATCTCAATTTGGAAGATCAGCTAAATCTTGTTAATTACCACATTGGATCTCTCGTGTAATATCTATCTTTACATTTTCCTAAACAATATTATCGAACCACTACAAACCCATAAAGCTTATAAGAAACGAGAATAAATAGATGGAGAATGTTTCAAACGTACAACTTTAACTAATTATTTCGCTATTAATTATAAGCTTGTCAATACCAACAACTTAAGTGATTCAGTTACTCCAAAATCTGAATCTGAAGTGTTCTATCAATACTAATTCATCAAACACTTGCATGTGTACATCAGTATTTTGTATTTCCGTAGATTCCCTAATTACAAAATTGCTTTGGATAATTAAAATAGAACTATACACACACACACACACACACACAAAAATCATTAAAAAAAATTAGTATTGCATTACCATTGCGCATGCATAAATCTAAAAAAGGGGTCCCAAAACAAAATATAAAAAAATATTATGGTGGAAACTATTTTGATACTATTATGTACGTGTAATATAATTTTGTTGTTTTCTTAACGACTTATACTTTTGTCTTCTCTATCTAAATAATTTGACACAATTAAACCTTTTTCAATCACTATTATAATCCAAATGTATGACATAATAAACGCCATTGAACATTTTAAACCCCAAGATTAAAAAAGAAAAAAACCAACGACGACTACACACTACTAGTAGTAGTAGGTGGTCAATATCATGGTTCTAGAACGTACGCACGTAGGCGGGTATAAAAATGTCACATGCCTTAAGAATGTTGTTGATCTCATCTATGTCGGTTCATGCACACTTAATTTATCCTAATATACGATTATACGAATCTACTCTTCATTTTTAAATATAGTTTTCAAGAACTTATTTAATCTAATAATCTAATGACGTAAGGAATATGGTAATGTAATAATAATAGAGATGGCCAAAACCCAACATTTTCATATAAGTAACTTTTTAAACTAGTCTTCTAGCATTCTACTAAACATTTTAAAAGGAAACAAAAACAGAGATTAATGTTGTTCATCAGATCAGAGTTCTCTCATTCTATTACACAAAGATTGAAAATTAAACAGACCCGATTAATATAAATAGAATTAAAAGAGAGTAAGGAATATATAAAAGGAGGAATAATAGTAATAATAATAATAATATTACCAAAATGACATAAACATGGTAACTACTGTTCATTTGTCTACGTGATGAACTCTCTTGTCTCTGACTGAGTCACTCATCACACCTCTCTCTCTCTCTTCTTCTTTAGTCATTTCAGTTTTTCTCGACTCTGTTCATGGCAAGATCGGTCCACGGGTTAGTGTTATTATTACCACCCGGTTCGGATCTCCTCAAACCCAAACCCATACCAGGATGATGATCCCAGCCCGACCCGTCAAGCAAGATCCCACCACCAAGACCAAGCTGCATATTAGAAGCCAAAAGGGAGCTGAAGCTCCCACCAATCTCCATACCTTTCACGTCCTGGTCACCGATCGGGAACCCGTAAAGCATCCGGGTCGGATCCAAATCCGGGTTTTGTTGTTGATCAGGATCCGGATCCGGGTTTTTAGTCTTCTTGTTCGTGTTTGAAGAAGGAGCAGGGGAAGATGAAGAAGAAGAAGAAGTGGATCGTTTGGTGGCGTTCTTGCGAGAGCCACCACCGACGGGGACGTTACGTAGAGCGCCGCCTTTAGTCCAGTAACGACGGCAGCTTTTGCAAAAGTGACGAGGCTGTGAGAGATTGTAGTTGTTGTAGTAACAGAACTTTGTGTTGGGTGAGTCACAGCGTGGACACTTTAGCTGTTCTTGCTCTGCAAATTGTGGTTGTTGTTGTTGTTTCGCCATCATCGTCTGGTAATAAGCTGCTGGATCCTGCATTTTTTCTTCTTCTTCTAAAAATCTTCTCTTTTCTTGGTTCTTGAAAATTCAAGAAAATAAAGATTGAATCTTTGGGATTAAAAGATTGAAAATTTTCCAACTGGGTAATTCTGGAAAAAGAAGTTTTGAAGTGTCAGAAAGAGAGAGAGAGAGAGAGAGAGAGAGAGAGAGAGAGAGAGAGAGATAGATTTTGATAAGAGGGAATTGTTGTGGTTCTTATCGCATAAATAAGACAAATCTTGTAAGAGTACTTCTCTCTCTAGAATTGAGAGTGAGAGAGAGAGAAGGGGAAGAAGGAAGAAGAAGAGAGTGTTGGGGTTAAAAAGTCTAAACGACAAGACAAGCTTTGTGAGCTGTGGTGTGTGTGTGTGACCAGTCTTATAGGGCAAACCAAATTAACAAGATTAATGCTCTCCTACGTAATCTTATTAATTATTTTATGCTAATTATTCAATAAGACAAGAGCGTGGTGTTAAAACTTTTTTCTCAATTCACTTGTTGACTTCTTTTTAACTAATACTATCATAGAGTTGTTTTGGTTGATGTCATTTTGTCGGAAGGGGTTATATATATATGAACAACATATAGAGAAGCAATTGTGGAGTTAATTAAACAAAGATTGATCAGCTTTTGCCTATGGGTTTACTTTAAACTAGCTAATCTCATGGTTAAAAAAGAGTTTGAATAAGTCGAGAGGGGTAATAACTTTTTCCAACATATTTGGATACGGCTGTCTCTGTGCCAAGATGGTTTTTGTTTGGCTTCTTATGTTTAGACAAATATCGATTCTACGTATCTTTTTGTTTTCTATTGTTTTGTACTTTACTTTTAACTCGAAAACAAACACAATTACCTTTTCTTTTCAATTTCATAATGTCTCTCTTAGCTACATGTTTTTTTTTCTCTTGGTCGTTATCTCCAGAAGAAATTTTATCAGTTTTGTCTTATAATTTAGACTCTCTTTGGACACTAGTATATCAATTAACTTGTATAGTAATTAAAGTGATAATAATCGCTTTGGCCCAAAGTGTTTTTCTATAGTTCTCACTATATATTAGTTTTCTGTTAAGAAGTAGTTTATTTATGTTGAAATATTTTGCTTATAAGAGAATTCTTAATTTTGATTCTTAATTATAAAAACATGCCGACAAACATTTTTTTTTTTGAAAAACGTAACCAAAAGAAGACGTCAAACAAAAGACAACCAAAAACGTCAGAAAAGAGTTGTTCTCTCCCAAGCGCACCCTTCCCATTTCCCATGAGTTTTCTTATCCATGCACAACACTCACACGTCGTACCACTTCCATTTCCTTAATTCTAACATAAGATAACGAAAATTATAACTAGTCCTTAATCTATATGCAGTAGATAAGCATATGGTATTTGTTATAATTAGCTAGCTAAAAAGATATATGAGAATAATTATTAAATAAAGGCACCGATCGATCGAGTCCATCATTTCTACAACCCACTCTGGCTCAAGAATAAGTAGACAAAATAGTAAGTTAGCGTTCTTGTGAAGCAAGTATATGTATGTATGTGTGTGTGTGGGTGCACTCTTCATGATGAGAGAAGAAGAGAAGAGGAATCATTACCACTCTCTCAGAATATCGGATCACAGCCGTTGAGGGTTTGGAATCGCATCAGAGCCGTCCGAGTGTCGATGGATACAGATTAAGGATATTGTCGTCGCGTTAAGCTGCCGTAAGAGCTGACCATTTGGCGTCCGTGTGCTCTGTTTTCCCAACACGTGGGGACTAACACTCCACTCTTCGTTTCTCATTCCCATCATCGCGTCTTTTCTACGGCTACGATTTTGTGGCTGCTCTTCGACGCTTGGACGGCTTTGATTTCATGTGTCCCTCCCTTGAGAGAATATATCTTTTCACAAACCAAACCATATTGGAGTCAAGCTAGCTAAGCTATGAGAGACACTTGTCTACTTAGTAGCCAAGTCACTAATGTTTCTCGTTCTTGTACGTAGCTTTTGATCTTGGGTTAATGAGTGAACGCAATATGAGAAATATATATTAGGAAATAGATATGGTGGAAGAATGTATTACGTATAGGAGAAAGAGTTCTTTTACCAAAAATAAGTATATAACAAACAAAACACGGAGACAGTGAGATACATAGTACTAAATTTCAAGAAAAATAAAATAGTTTCAAGAATATGCCAAAACAAACAACTCTCACGAGTCACGACACAAGTCATGTGAGAGGAAGCTACAATCACGATTTTGCTTATAATCGGATTCCCTTTTTCTGGTTCATGTCCAACATTTAACAGAACACAAGTAAATCTAAAACTTTAAGAGGAAATGGCAAGATAGAATGAAGAAAAGAGTACTGATCATTACCAGTGGTTGCTATTTCCTCCCCCCGAGAAAGAAAAAGAAAAAAGAAGTCGTCAAGGATGATACAAAGAGAGTATAGTTTTCATAGCTGTGAGATGAAGATGCTGACGATGGATGTTATATAATCATCTCTCTGATCCTTCAGTTTCACAAGTGCCAAAGCTTCTTCTCCATTTTGGGTATTATGTTTGGGTTTTTTAAGCATAGTACATGTACAAACTGTTGGCTGCAGCGCAAGCTATCGAGTTTTCTGTTGGATGCCACGCGAGATGCAGCAATTTGTTTGTATGGTCAAAAGAATTTACATTCCCATCGGCTCCGGGACTCTCTGCTGCTCCTGTTTCCCATTGTTTTGAAACTATTCATTTACCTTGATTACTCACTTCCCTGTAAAGGGCTTATACTAAAGACACTAGGGAAAAAACCCACTAACCTCTTCTAACCGCACGTGTTATACTGCTTAGCGATCTTGATGGCCTCGAGGGTGTTGTGACTTGTCGCCTGTTAGTTGAAAACACACAAATATGATGATCCTATTGCTATAGAGAATTAAGGAAAATTGGAAGAAATAATTATTGTGAATAGCACCAGTTTGTTACCTCATTGGATTTTTGCTTGCTTCCAAAGTTGTAGTTTCAGTGCTTCCCGGGGAAACACCAAACACTCGGAAGAGATTGCTAGAAACAATTTAAGATGGGGAAAGTTCATTCCAAAAGAATTGAAGTGAATGGTGAAATTAAAGAAGAATATGTGCACTACAGGCATACATACCTGTAAGAACCTGTAGCCACTCTCAATCCATCCCCACTTAGACAACACTCAAACTTATCAAAGATGGAATCATTTTCATACAAATCACAGAGCTGAAGATAGTCACAAAATGGAAGCCATCAGTAATGTACCGAGTCTGTCTATGCAACTCTCATGAAGTACAGAAAACTGACCTTTGGTCTTAAATATTCATGAACCTGGAGAGTTGATACTGGACCTGAGTCCATGTTGATGTCCCATAACTGACATGTAAACATAATCATGAGTCCAGTGATGCCAAAAAAAAGAAGTTAAAAAACCAACGAGTCCAGTTTTCCTATACACTTATTTTAAGGTTATAGCATAACTAATGCCAATACAACAGAAGTTCCCACTCTCTTGATTTAATGAGACATAATGAACAATGGAAATTTTGAAAAAGCAGGGACCTTAAGCGTCATGTAGTCACGGCTAAGTATATATCTTCCTTCTTTCGCAAATTTGATATCTGAAATTGAAGCAATTATCTCCGTGAAAAATGATCTCGAACTTGGTGTCTCTGTGTCCTCAAACCTGCACAAACAAGCAATGTTAGACCTGCTTTGTTGCAATGTCATAAATCGCTACAAGAAATTGTGGTTTCTTTTGTGTTTGCCATGCAACTATGGTATCCTCATCATTGGCGGATAACAACGCAGTTATTTACGGCATGCATATCTTCGTCTTTCAAATTATTTTTTCAAGTTATGAAACAGCATTCACTTTATCCTAAACATACTACTTCAGAAAAGATTTCTATAGTGGCTAAAAATAGTATTGTGATATCCAGATGATACTCCTGAACCTATTGTGTTGGCACAAGAGATGTTACCAATCACATTCTCATGGAGTAACTCAAATAATTATACATATCTGGATCAACTTTTCTATAAATTGCATTACTGAGAACCTTAGTTGGTATGCCAGTCTCAAGACTTACAATTTGGAATGTGAGTCACATAAAGCTGATTGTCGCAGATCAATCAGGCGAATTGAGCCTTTCGAACTGCTATAGGCTAACGTATTGCACTGGGTAGGATGAAATTCGGCTGATGTTATAACCTCTGCAACAACGAACAGGATAAATATTGCAGCTCGAATTAATTCCCCCTCAGCGCAAACTTTTACTATAAAGAAAATTAAGCATGCGGGGAGAGACATGACAACAAGACTGCACTTATATATAAACGAGCAAAGCATTTAACCCACAATTTATTGACCAGGCTACTGTATCCAAATGACACTTAAGAGCTGCATGCCTCAAGAGGGACCACCACATCATTGTACGCGCATAAAAGTTCGAGGACAGAAATGTATGAAGCAAGTTTGATCATTCCATCTCAACAGACTTTTTTATACCACGTAAAAGGAAAAAGTGCAGCTTACCAGTTAGATCTTCCATATTTGCAGGCTTGACATCAACAATGTTAAAACTTTGATTGCTGATCTCCAGGTTCCAAAGATTTATTCGCAAATCATCAGCAGAAATAAATGTCTCGCCGTCACTTGAAATTTGGTAGCAAAATAACCCACGAGAATAGCATGGTCAATACAAGTAAGAGGAAGGAAAACAACTATGTAACCAAAATGGACGGATAACCTACCTATTGTTGGAGATTGAATTGATATGATAATCATGGGCATGAGTGTATACTCTTCGACATCTAGCCACAGGGCTAGTCTCATGACTAGTAGTTACCTGTAGGTTGTCAACTGGATTATATGTCTAAACTCGAGCAAACTATATCTTTACAGATGAAAAGATTAGAAATATCCGAATCAAATGTAGAGAAGACCAAGGAAGGGACTGAGAAAATCAAGGTACTTAGAATCTACAGAACTAGCGAAACCCTAAATTCATGTGAGTATTATTATCTATAAGTTCACTATATGCCAATGCTTCATATATTTCAGCTCACTTGGGCACT